CCACCCTGGGCAACATCTGGCTGCCTGCCAAAGATCTCCCTCTGCACCTTAAGTTGAGAAAGCTAGCTACCCGATACATGAGCCTTTCAAGATCTTAAGTGGGTCAACCCTGTCCATGAGAGTGGATCTGACCTTTCATATCTCACACCTCAAGCTTCTCCTCTGTAGCTCAGTCTCACCAGACACTGTTCTTTCTCCAGCTCCTTGACGCCCAGTTATTGTAATGTCATTGCTTAGTCACGTTGGTTGTAGTGGCATCTCTACAACAGTCAGTGCTTGTTTTTATTATTTGAGTGTTGTCCATTCTCAGTACAGAAATGATGTTGACATGGTGGTGGCATGATGGTGTGTGTGGTGTTGTATCAGAAACAGTAGTGTTGCTGGAGTTCTCACAGACGTCAGTGTCACTACTAGGTTAAGAGTGGTCCATTACCCAAAATATCCAGCCAAGAGCGACTCTGTGATCAGAAACTGACCACTGATGAAGGGCTTGAGGATGGCACAAATTTGCGTCAACATATGGGCTACCATCTCTCACTGTACACCAGCAAGAGATGAGTTTCTAATGAAGTGGACAGTGAGTACATATTTCATCTTTTGGCCAGTGGGGTAAAGCTTAATCTTCATTCTCCACCACTTACAGCTACTACATTATTTAGTTTATGGTATAAAATGACTACATTTGTCCTGCATAAACTGCCAAAGGTAGAAATGTGTAAAGTAAGAAGAAACTGGGAAGATTTGTCTAGGTCAGTTCTGTCACTTTGGTCCGTCAGAATAAACAGACAATGACCATTTGTATACTTTAAGTTTTGTCAACAAAAGCAAAGTATAGCAACCTTCAGACACAATCAAATACTACTAGGATACATTTTCTGAAACAGCTAGTCTCATAGGGCCAGACATAAAATTGAAACAAGAAAGTCTGGGGACAGCCAGACTCCAATGTTGCATTAAGGCAGAGCTCAAGGAAGGTGACACTAGTGCACTCGTCAGCCATGTCTGATGTTCAGTAAGCCTGTCGTTAGCCCATGGATGGAATGTAGGTTATCATGGCTGAAGTGTCCTCCCAGAAAACTACAATTAAGCATGTAGATGTGTGTCAGGGGTAAAAATAAAAATTATTTGTTTTAAAAATAAGCATTACCTTTATTACCTGCAAAGGCAGTGTCTTTATACCAGACTATCCTTTAGCTTTAGAAGATATTATATTGTGATATACGTTGACGGTGGGTTACCAGTAGCCATATGTGGCCTCATTTTCATTTGAACTTTGGACAACTGTCGTCCAAACATTAAAAGACAATGGACCAGTGGAATTTGGGGGTGGGTTTTAAAGAGGGGGGTACCCTTTTTTAGTGGTGGATTTTGCCACAGTCCTGCAACCAAAGTTTAACAAGTCTTCCCTAGAAAGTATTCTTGTGACAAGATCATCCCTGGTCTACGAAATACCAGGAAATACAGTCATATGCAAAAGTTTGGGTACCCTTGGTCAAGTGCCTTTTTGTTGATTTTTTAAGTGAAAATAAGTTCTAAAAATAAGCCTCTACAAGAAACAAATTACTGATTATTTGCTGATTTTGACATATTGGGTAACAAAGTAAAATGTTAAATGGGGCCTGTGCAAGTTATGGTGCGTTTATGCATTTTATATTTTATATTTTCTTTCTGTGTTAACTTATTTTCATTTGTTCAAACTTTTGCATATGACTGCATCTTAACACCAATATTGACCTTTTCACATGGATAGTTGTGATAATATCAAGAGGTGACAGACTTTGTAAAAGAGGTTTGAAGATGTTTGAACTGAAAATGGTAAGCTGTTTGTCCTTTGAGGTTGACTGTTGAGGCCTTATAACCAATACTCATATCATTACAGGTTTGTAAATGAAAAAGTAGAATAAAACAAGCCATTATTATTTTACCTGGTACAACATAGGAGTTATTAAGAACATATGTCTGAAAGAGGATGATAAAGAGCTAAATACACTCACAGCTTCCCCAAAAGACCTGCTGTCAATCATAGAATAAAAGATCATTGTGAAATATAATAGCTAAGTGGTATTACCTTCATTGGTGTTGTATCATTAGAAATGAGTGCTTTTGTGAGCACTTATTACACTTATTGTTGGAGCTGTCAGGATGGACAGATAGGGTTTCTTTGTTTAAAAGCCAGACGTTTTTGTACATTGTTTACATCAGCTCTGTTTTGTTTAATGCACTTTATTGTCAAAGACAGTAGTTTTAAAATACTCTATTATGAGCAAAACCCAAGGGTTTGGTTTGAACTGCATATATTAAATCCAATATTTTAATTAAATTGTGAACAAATAAAGGTAATGTGAATTTAACGTGAAACTAAATAAAAATAGTTCTTCATTCATTCCTGCATATTGTCACTGTCCAAAAAATGGAGATACTTTTTTTTTGGACAGTGACAATATGCAAGAATGAGTGAAAAACTATTTTTCGAAAAAGTATCTCCATTTTTTCCAACTTTTATTTTTCTACATTCAAGCACAGCAGCTGTCCTTTACATTGTGTGAAAATTTAATGATGAGTGGACCAGAAGAAATGTTCCAAAAAGCTTTTTAACATCAACAGCAACAATATTCTCTGCTGTTTAAAGGTTTGGAATCACTTGCATATTAATACTTGTTGCCATTTAATATACAAAAGTAACAGAATGCAGATTTAATTATTAGGAAGTAAATACCACAAGGTATTTTTGATGCTGCCTTTGATCTGTCAAATATTTCGGCAGTGATAATTAATGTAATATAATTATGTATTTGCAGTCTTTTTTGTCAAGTTAGGATTTTGCCACTTGAAATACGTGAAAATCAGGATATTTACTTTATTTGATTGTGTTCATTTTATTTTAATCCTGATTCTTGATACTATACAGCCTTTTAGTCATTTTAGAATCATTATTCTGGGCACTTTCTCAATATTTTTGCATATTCCTACTGATTATTTGAAATCTGCAAAGTTGCACAGCATTAGATTTTCATACATTTCATACATTTACATTTTTTACGGTAGTGTAGAGCTTTGCTTGTTGATTTGACAGGAACAGTAAAAATCAAGTGGCAAGTCCCCATTTTGTTACTCCAAAAATAAGCATGGTACAGTTTTATGAGGTAGATTTTATAAGGCCAATTTCATATGGCTGTTGTCTTCCTAACATGGCTAACAATAAGTTAAATTCTCACCTAATGTAGCAAAATATGTTTATGCAAAGTAGCTCCAATTTGAAGATGGACAATGAAATGCTGGCAGAGGACTAAAGACAATTTTATTAGAACCATAATCCCATGATAACCTACTTTCTCATTATGTTGGCCAGTGTGTGCCTCCAATAACTGCTAGGAGCTATATTTAGGATGAAGTTAGGGTAACATTTGTAGTGCTAGAAGTGACCCAGCTTCAAAATGACTACTTTTACAAGACTATGTATTGACCTTTGTTTTCATATTTACAAAAAGTCATTTTATTCTATGTTCTCTCTTAAAATAATGCTTATATGCAAAACTGCTAACTTCATTTCTATTATGAGCAACTTTCAGCTGCTCCATGAAGGTCCTTGCATTCAATCCACAGCAAGCTAGGTGTGATGCATATTCTGAAATCAATGCTTTTAAAATGTAGTTCTGTTACAGTACTGTGCAAAAGTCAGAGATCACCGTTCATTTATTTCCAGTCAGAATGGCCATTAAGATCAAATTATTCATATTTCAGCATCAGAAAACATATCGCTGTTGTCGGAGGAAAACCTTGTTTTTTTAATTTTTGACATTTGAAAATGCCTGGTGTTCTTTATATTGTGTGTAAATTTCATGATGAATGAGCCAAAAGAAACGGCTCAAAATGACGTGGAAAAAATTCTGGTTCCATTGACTTACATTAAAAGTAAATTTTGTTTTTTCCTTCTTCTGTAAAGTTACCATTTTGGAGATATAAGGTTTTCTTCTGACAACAGTGATATATTTAACAGAAAATTATACGGAAGCCTCAACAACTAATTATAATGTATTGTCACTATTGAGTGTGTCCACACTTAATCTTTACTATAGCTTTTATTTGTTTGAGGTTTCCAATTGTGTTGTTTTCAGTTCTTCAAAGGTGTACGCAGGGATATTTTACCACACCTCCAAAGTTCAGTCTTAGAAGTTGGTTACATTTTTGCTTCTTGTGGTCCAAGTAATCCCAAACACATTCAATGAGGTCTGGACTCTGGGGTGGACAGTCCATTGTTCTGAGAACACCAGCAGCTTCTTTGTTTGATGTGTCTCCTTTTCTCAGTGAGGTTCTTCTTGACAGCTACACATCCTTTCAGACCCATAGCGCTGAGTCGTCTTCTCACAGTGGAAGGATGGACAGAAACACCTGTGGATGTTTTCAGATCTGAAGCAGCTTGATTTTCTCCTCTCTCTCAGAGATGAAAGCTTTAGGTGCTGTTTATCTGATGGGGACAGTTTTGGTGGTCTACCAGGTCTTGCATGGCTGTTACGAGTCATTTTCTTTGTATCTATTTTTACTCCAGTTTTGGAAAGTCCTGTTTTTTTTTCTAAATTCTTCTATGACTTTCCTTTGTACTTAATATCTTGTTTTGACTGCAAATTAAATAAATGAAGGGTGGTCTTTGACTTTTGCACAGTACTTTAGATTAAATAGTAATATGTGTAGAATTAGAATAGAGAAACTGTCAATTGTGCTTGAGATATATGATGTGTAACTGGTTCCTTTCTGGGTTTCCATTGAGTACTCAAGCAGGACATTACTTTGCACTCTGGACATTAGTAATATTACTCTGAAATTGGGTGAGAATTGCCCTTTCATCCATGTGAAATGTTCCCAAATCTCTGGTTCTACAGTTGGTCCATTTGAACTACCCCAGACAACCCCCTGCTATCTGCTCCCTGAATGTGCATCTTTCACCAGCGACCACTGACATGATGCCTAATGAGTTTGTGCATATATCTATGTGTGTGTTTCAGGTTCCAGAGGGTCCGTGTCAAGCCCCCATGGCTCTCCAACTCTGAGTGGTCAGCAAAGCAGTGCCAACGAGGAGATTTGGGTTCTAAGGAAACCTCTCGCTGGTAAAGAATTTTCCTCCTTTTCTCTCTTAAAACATAAACAGCTTCCCCCGTTTTTTATTTGTTGTTTGTTACTTTTTATTTACAAGGCGGCGGCAGTGGCGGCAGCATGGGCAGTACAGGCAGCCTGACCAGTGGCCGTTCGTCCATCAGTGGTCCAGTGGACAATGCCAATGCTCACCTCACCAACTCACCTGTGCCTGTGCCAACCACTCCCACACATTCGCCAGGGGTCAACACACATGGCCTCAATGTACCAGGACTACACGCACAGGCGGAAGGGGTGAAGGTGAGACACAAATACAGATACAGAAAGATTTCAGATGTACACAGTACTTGCTTATATGGTTACTATTGGCATTTTTCCATTGGGCACAGTATAGTTAGGAATTAGTGATTATGGATTCGCCCTCATTTCTACTGCTTAGTAAATGTACTGTACCAGAGTACCTATGTTGAGTTTGGTTACCCTTCTTGCTGGGGTACCAAGCATACCGAGCCGGACCGTAAGCTAGCAACAGTGCAAACCACTAACTGGTCAAACACAATTGTCCTGTGGTGTCACTGGAGTCAGTTGACCCCCTTTTAAAGAACATACTTGCCAACCAGAATTGCTCTCATAACCAAAGGGCAACTAAAAGGTAAATCGAATTTTGAAACTCCTCTTTTTTTTGCTACTGTTGTTCGTTTTTACTGGTAACATTAGATCTGCATGAGAAATTATGTGCATAAGCTAAACAGCTTCAAGCTCCACCTACTGTAACAATTCTGTTATGAGATGGGAAACCGACACAGGTACTCAACCAAGGTGCAGAGGGTCATATTTATAACCATACTGTGCTTTTCTATACTGCCTGATGGGAAAAAGCCATAAAAACGGCCAAAATAATGAATGCAAGTTCAATCCCCGGTGATGCCACATTCATCTGTGGCCAGGAGTCCAAGAGAGCACAATTGGTCTCGCAGTCGAGGTGGGTAAGATGGCCCTCCCTCTCCCCATCATCACTCGGCACACTGCTAGCCAGTGCAGGCAGAACATAACCTTGTGTTGAGAACAGAACATAAAGACCGAAACATTCCTGCCATTCAGCTAAAGGGGATAACGTTAGCATGGCCTGCACTGGTTGTACTTCGCATTATCTGCATGCATTTGGCATGAACCTGTGACTGTGGATTTTATCCTCTACTACTGGGCCCTACTGCCAAGTGAACCATACCGTACCTGAATACCTATCCTGAGTTTGGTTACACTGTTTGCTGGGGTACCAAGCGTACCGAGTTGGGATGTAAGCTAGTAATGGTGCAAACCACTGACTGGTCAAACACAGTTGTCACATGGTGTCACTGGAGTCAGTGAAGCAGAAAACCAAATTTCAGATCATTTTGGGGTTTGGACATTTGGGGTGAGGGGAAATTATGTAGATTGTATTTTTTGCCCAACTGTCACCCTCATACAAAACTCTACATAATGCTGCCGCATTCAAATACACTCCAATTTGACATACATATGTGTTTGTGTACATTTCAGTTGTTGGCCACAGTGTTGTCTCAGTCAGCCAAAGCAAAAGAGCATCTTCTGGAGCAGTCCCGTTCTGTGGACCATAGCCCAGGTACTGCAAGTCAACTACGATATTCATACAGATCACCATGCAAAAGCCATGAATTGGTTGAAGGCTTTGTTTTACCATGAGCTTTCATCTACCTAATTAATACGTAGCCAGTGTATTACTCTTGTTGTCTTTAGTCACCATTTTACCACTGTATTGTCAGGGTTGGGTGATATTCAACCTGTAGTTCTTTTTTAACATATCTGTGTTGTTTATATTAGAAAAAGAAACACTCATTACAAAAAGTAGCCTGTAGTCTATTAGGCCAAATTGGGCTGTTTTTAAAATCTGCATTTCATAATTTGGCCACACGGTGGCATTGAATAGCTTCTTGTAAACACCTTTGAAAGAAACCTTTCCTGCTGTATGAAAAATGAACAATTTTCTTTGCAATAAAATTTTGTGATTCCATCTAAACTTTAATAATTTTGAGGTGTAGACTGACATTCCAAAGAGAATATTGCCAAATTCCTGTCCAGTACTTAGAGTCGTATGCAAATGTTTGGGCGCCTGTGCCATATCCTCTGCAGAGAACACACAGCACATATTAATGCCCATTTACATGGCATGAGAAAAAATTTATGGTACATTTTATCTTTATTGTTTTAATGTTTTTTTCACTAAAATGTTCACAAAAATTTGAAAAATGCCATATTTTTCCCTGTAGAGGATATGTAAACTTATTTTCACTCAGAAAATCAACAAAACATACTATTTGACCATTCAAACTTTTGTGTACCATCTCCAGATATAACGACTGACATAGAGTTACAACACCTGGTTTTAATGTTGATAAACTTTACCAATGTGTCATAAACACCATAGTATCATATTTAGTCCCAGTGCTGTTCCTGACAACATTTTATCATGTATGACAGCTTCCTCACAGCTTACCCAGAGTGCACCTGGTGGCCCTCGTTCGGAGAAAAAGAAACCATTCGTGGATCCTTTACTGCAAAGGAAGGACAGCACTTCAGCAGAGAGCAAGGCAGGTGTTTGTGTCTGTGTGTGGCTACAAAGGTTCCCCAGTACAAGTGATACAACTCATGTTGGGCTGGATAAGTGGATAAGTTGGGCTGGCCATTGGAGCAGTGAACAGAGCTGAGAAGAAACCCATCCCAATAATATTTTAACAAAACCTCATCAAATTTGACTCACCATCTCTCCTTAAAGGAGTCCCAGACGATTTTAAGGGCTTCCTTACTCTATTAGCTCAGGTGAGGTGCATTTAATGAGCCCTCAGAGGGGTGAGGAGTTGAGTGAATGTAAATGTCAACTTTGGCTGCAGAACTTGCCCAAAAATCATTGCGACCTGAAGCACTTCCCTTCTCAAACCTGCAAAAATGGTGGACAAGGCTGTTCATAAGACATAGCAGTGAACTATTTTACAATGCTTAATATTTCAAAACCATAACATTTAGTTTGCTGGGTTTAATGTAGCAAACTACTCTTTCTATTATACATGAATGCTGATACGACCCATATGGAAAAAAGTATATGGACATATATTTTTATATATTTGAAATACATTTCCATGAATTACATATCCATGCTAAAATACATCACAAACACTAAAATGTGTTTCCAAATATTTCGCCATATTAACCATATTCTAAAATGTATTTTAAATTTTAATTTATTTCAATATGTATGGAGAAATATTACACATAGAAATGTACCATACAAAAATAAATGTATGTATTTATCAAATACATTTGAAAATGCATGAAATGTCTTCCAGTATCTAAATTTTAGCAAGTGGACCTTTAATATGGCAAAAGCAAGTGTTGAAGGTATTGATACTCTGTGAAAATGCAGTTATGATTTTGTTTATTCAAAATCCATTTTCTGCATACATACAAAGATTAATGCAGTACCATTCATTCAATTTATGTTAATTTAGTTATATCTGTAACCTTTTTTTTTAAAAATAAAACTACATACAATTGGAAAATATGCTTAAAAAACCAATACATGCATTTAAAAATGTATTTAACAAATATCTTTTGGCCATTTTCATACATTGCAAAAATATATTTGATAAATAATTTGGATTTTTTTTATTTTTCATATGGGAACTTCTGCACTTTACTGTGCTAACTAAGCTAAAGGCTACACAGCCAGCAACAACACAAAAAAGGCATTACACCTCAGTTTTAGAGCAAAGCTTTATGTGTATGCGTGTTATGTTCACACACCTCATTTTGCATTATAAAGTTTGCATGACTAGCTATATAGCTCACTGAAGCTAACCTAACCTTTCTGATTGAAAATGCACTCCTCACTGTCCCCTCCTCCCTTTGAGCTGCCACTTGAATAATGTAAGCTGAAAACTGGCGAGGGGGAGTTAAAAATGTATTGAAATGGTACTCAAGGGTGGTTTGTCTGTGGAAATATTCCTGGTTGTACAGCCTGTAGGCCACTAGTAGAGGCCCTCAGAAGACAGTGGTGACCTGTGAGTGAACTACGCATATAAACAAAGGTCTCTGAAATGTAAGCCTAGTGCATTCTAATAATGACAATGATGATGTTTCCATCTCTGAAACCAGTCATAATACAACTTGGACCAATAGGTGCAAGGTGGACCAATTTCAGTTGGATCTTACCGAGTCTATACGTGAAGAAAACTGTGGATTACAAACTACAGATCTAAAATGCATAATGATAAACAAGAGATTGCTTCTCCCCATCTACATTGGCACCTTTGGCAGAATTTTCTGTATTTCTGCATAAATTTGACCTAAAACTTCATCAGATTTGCACACACGTCCTAATAGTAGTTAAAGAGAACCAAATTAAACAAATAAGACAAAAATAAAAAAAAGAAAAGAAAAAGAAAACCAAAGAAAAAGAAAACTTAGAGAAAACTGAGGCCCCAAAACCTAGCTTCATTTTTCATTTTTCCTCCTATTAAATGAAGTGAGGCACACTTTAACATAATACTCTGTCATCCTTTCAAAGAACACTATTTGCTGCCTTTGTTTTAAGAATCTCCTTTTTAACTCTTAAAAAATGTTTGTTTCTCAAGCAAGGATACATTTTTCATTTACTTTAACTTAGAAATAAAAGGTATCAGAATCAAATCTCAGCAGAAAATGCTTGATCGGATATCTGAGGGTAAAAAAAGAATGAATCTGACCCAATCCTGTAACAAATCTATCCTGAAATAGCACTCATTCACACTGTGTGATGTGATGTTGTTAGCTGTGTAGAGCATTAGAGTAGTTTGAGCATGATAGCCTACTTTTAAGGCTCCAGGGAACCTAAATCTTCTTTTTTTCTTTCTAAGTAGGTTAATCTTACTCTTGTGTGCACACAATATACATGTTATATACATACCTTTTTCTGTGTAAACTGGATCCTAACCTTGGATAGCACTTGCATAAGCCATCTCCTCACCAATTACAGGACTGATGTGGTTTGTCCCGTCACGCATGATGAACAAAACTGTTACCCTATGGTCTTTTTTTTTTACTGTTCATTTTGGAGAAACTTACTGAGAGAAGGCTAACAACCAAGCGAAAGCTAACCTAGCAAGCATCAAACTAGCCATTTAACCGGCCATTTCAACATTCTCTGGATGCACATCCAGCAGTAAAGTGAATAAGAACCTAATTTTCTTTAAGATGTTGCCATATTAAAGTGTTAGTGAGCCATGAATACAGTGGAGACATCTACACAACATGGGCTGAATATGCAGAGCCAGTTTCTTTCATTTATATGCGCCCGCACTGTTGTGTTTATTGTTGGACTGGGATGTCAATCACATGTGCTCATCAGAATATTAGGCCCAGGTAGTTCTCAGATTGGCCTAATGTGCATTTTAAGCCATATATATATATATATATATATATATATATATATATATATATATATATATGTATGTATTTTGCTGGATCTTCAAGTGCTTCAAGTATAATATATCTTGATTTAACCCCTTAAATTGCCAAGACCCACCAGGGGGTGCAAATTTAAATTACACACTTCCATAACTCAACTAGTTTGCATTGACGTCCCTGTAGTTACTGAATAATAAGCCTTAGTATGGACCAAACCTAAGGGGTTAATTGCTATTATAGCCAGTTTTTTAGTACTGTTGAATGTAGGCAAACATTTAGGGACCCCAGGAGCCAAAGGACCCAATACAAATCAGGAATATACATAAACTATACGCTAAGAAATACCAGAATGCCTGTTAATTGCTATTATAGCAAGTTTTAAGTACTGTTGATTGTAGGTAAATTCCCCATAAAAACACAAATTATAGGGCAAAGTAGGGGGGCCTGTCATTTCAATGTGGACATACTCTGCTGCCACCTAGTGGCCATATGTGCTACTGTATTTCACACTTGTGCCTCTGACTGGTACTTCAGTCCACATTCCTGACAAGAGCAAATCTGAATTGCTATGTCTCTTGCAGAGCTCAGAGGCAGTCGCTGAATGGCTTATTAGTGCTCAACTGCAGTTTTACACAACTAACTTCCTGACTGCTGGATATGACCTACAAACCATCAGTAGGATGACTCCAGAGGTATTACACACCTGCTCACATGCATAAATGCACATACATTATAGATACATTTTGTTGTTGTCATGTCAAAACCTCACAATTTTTACACCATTTGAAAACAGTCATTCTTTGCATTTTGTGATCATTTTGTGACAAATGATCCAATAAAAATGACCCAAAATTATTTGGAGTAAAGTCTCTTTGCATTGATGTCAAAGTTAAGAATGTTTATTGCTTCCTTTAAAAATCCCTTCACTGTGGAGCAGAGTTCATAAAACTACATGGCACTTATATTAGCTTGTCACGACAGACATAAACCTACATAAACATTTCTAAAGGCTTATTCCAGTAGACATCATCTGTAATAAAGTTTGTTTTTCAAGTTGACATGACACAATATTTGACATTGATTTTCTTCGGTTAAATTGTGTAAGACATTTTTTTGGTTGAAATGACATACAATATATGGCCAAAACTATAAGGCCATCTGTCCTAAGTATTGAGCTTAGGTGTTTCAGCTGTGCTCATTGCTAACAGGGGCAGTCAAGCAGTCAATCAAGCAGATAGCTGTGCAATCTCCATAGACAAATATTGGCAGTAGAATGAGTTGCACTGAAAAGCTCAGCGACTTTAACCGTGGAACTATCATAGGATTCCACATTTTCCATGTCAGTTTATAAAATTTCTGCCCTGCTAGGTCTGCCCAGACAACTGTAAGTGCTATTATTATGAAATGTAAGTGTCTATTATCAACAACAACTCAGCCACTAAGTGGTAGACCACACAAACTGACAGAGAGGAGAAGCTGAACACTGGAGCACATAGTGAATAAAAATTGCCTATTGAATCAGAAGTTTCATGAAATGGGTTTACATGAAACAGCTGCACGCAAGCTCAAGATCACTATGCGCAATGCCAAGTGTCGGCTGGAGTGGTGTAAAGTCCATCACTGGACTCGAAAATGTTCTCTGTAGTGATGAATCATGCATTATCTGGCAGTCTAATGGAGAAATCTGAGTTTGGTGAATGCCAGGAGAACACTACCTTCCCTGAATGCATAGTGCCTACAGTAAAGTTTGGTGGAGGAGGCATAAAGGGGTGGGGCTGTTTTTCATAGTTGGAGCTCAACCCCTTAGTTCCAGTGAAGAGTAATGTTAATAATACAGCATTAAAAGATATATTAGACAATTATATGCCTCTAACTTTGTGGCAGCAGTTTGGTGAAGGCCCTTTCCTGTTCCAGCATGACTGTACCCTAGTGCACAAAGTGAGGTCCACAAAGACATGATTTGACAAGTTTGGTGTGGAGGAACTCTAGTGGCCTGCACAGAGCCCTGACTTCAACCTCACTGAACACCTTTGGGATGAACTGGAACATTGATTGTGAGCCAGGCCCTCTCGTCCAACATCAGTGTCTGACCTCACAAATGCTCTTTTAACTGAATGGGTACAAATTCCCACAGACACACTCCAAAATCTTATAGAAAGCTTGCCAGAAGAGCGGAGGCTGTTATAGCCACAAAGGGGGGCAACTCCATATGAATGCTCATGATTTTGAAATGGGATGTCCAACAAGCTCCTATAGGTGTAGTGGTCTGGTGTCCATATTCTTTTGGCCATAATAACTGACTTAGCATATATCACAGTGACACAATGTTGATATGACAAATCAGAAAATGCTCACTTTTGGTCAACCAGCCAAACTTACGAACGCTGCCTCACAGTAAAGTGTTTTGGATGCAAGGTTTTAATAGGACAATATATGATGACAATCAATTGACTGAAAGTGAAGCTACAGATGTTTGAGTTGTTTGTGTTTATAGGACCTCACAGCTATCGGGGTGACAAAACCTGGGCACAGGAAGAAGATGTTGTCAGAAATCAGCAAACTGAACATCCCTGACTGGATACCTAAAGAGAAACCTGTAAGAAATGTGCATCCACGCTTCATCTAGACCTTAATTTGTACCTTAAAAGTAAATGTTTTAGTTTACTATGGCCCATTTTTTGTAAAAAAGCATGCGTCCTTCAAAATGTCCCCACAGTACCTGAATTTTCATGTCTTCCTGGCATTGTGTGGATATATTTACCAACAAATTGTGTGGACGAACTTATATTCCACCATCATAATCCATGCTAACCAGTCATCCTCTTCATGTCCTTGTAGACCAGTCTGGCGGAGTGGTTGTCTCTGATTGGACTGAGTCAGTACTACCAGACACTTGTTCAGAATGGCTATGACAACATGGACTTTGTCAGTGACATCACACTGGAGGACCTGCAGGAGATTGGCATCACAAAACTGGGTATAGAACTTGAACCCACGCATTAGCTTAAACATTTAAAGCAATATTTGGGCCAAAAAAATACACAATTTCCCTCTTACCCTAAAAGAAGTTAGCCAAGACATGTTTAATGTTGGAAATTTTGTTTTTGTTTTAGTTTTGTACTGGAGCTACAAGGCGAATGGAGCTAACAAGTAATGGAAGCTTTGCTCACTATATGTCTAAAAGTATTCAGACAGCCCTTCTACGGAGTGACTTCAGCTTCTTTAATGTGCATCTGTTGCTGCTAAAAGTGTTCAGTTGCACATTAAACTTGTACAATGCTAATAGAATGGAATGCTCCAGAGTAGCCACACATGAGCCTAAGGTCATCATGCCCAATGCCAAGTGTCAGTTAGAGGGATAGAAAGCCCCCCAGGGGTCTGTGGAGCAGTGGAGCAGTGGAGCAGTGGAACTGTGTTCTCTTGAGTGACGGAGCTCCGTCCACTACCTTTGGGATGGGGTTGGAGTGATCCAGAACTAAACATCCAACATCAATACCTGACCTCACTAATGCTCTTGTGGCTGAAAGCAATCAAATCCTCACAGAAATGCCCCAACATCTAGTGTAAAGCCTTCCCAGAAGAGTAGAGGTTGTTACTACAGTAAAAAGGGGACAAACACTCCATTAATACACTTGATCTCAGAAGAAGCAGCTTCATCTGGGGTAAGAGGTTAATATGTTTAGATTTTTGGCCAAACCATAGCTTTAAGAGTGTTAATACTGTAGGATGCCCTCTAGCAACAAAACTGTCCACTAATTTGTAAAACTCCCTTCTCTGTTTACATCCTTTGCACTGCAGGACATCAGAAGAAGTTAATGCTGGCTGTTAACAGGCTTGGCGAACCTCCAAAAGAGGAAGAAACTCCTGGCCAGTCCGATGAAAGCACAGATACAAAACAACCAGTTGCTGCAGATGTGATCAGTAACGTGCCAGAGATCAAATCCACCCCTGCACCAAGGACACGCAAGGGATCGGAGGGGCGTGGATCTCCTCGGCACACTGCGCAAGGGCGGGGCATACAGAGAGCAAACGCCCCTCCTCCACTCAAGAAACCTGGGTCGTACGATAGCCCCACCCACACCCCGCCACATACGCCCACTAAAGGCAAAACCTCCTCCCCTCACACAAACTCCCCCACGCACACTCCTGGCTCGCCCATGAGAACACAAAGCAGGCCAAGGGGACCAAACGACTCCCCCCGGGTGCATCCTCATGGTCGCGCTGTGCCGTTACTCTGTCTTCCACCTGAAGGTGGCACCGAGGATGAGGAGGACCAGACTCCGCCCTTGCCCAGGCGGATCATGCGCAGCGGGACGCCTGCAGTTACCGAAGTTTCAGAACGTGTCAACGAAGAGCTTCCTTTGCCTGATTCTTCGGTGAAATACGCCACGCTAGGCGGTGTCAACCGAAGCAGTTCCGGTAAAGGTTCCGGCGACACCCTTGATGTCAGCGGTGTCAACCGCAGCCAGTCATTTGCTACCACACGTCCTCGCAGGAGGACACGACCTCCCACCCCACCGAAGCGCTCCTGCTCCTCGATCTCCACCGGCAACCTGGCCGACGAGGCGGCTATGTCTAACGAAAGGGGGACTGGTCGAGGCGAGCATAGTGATTCGTTCCTCAGCGTGAACTACAGGGAACGCCGCCGGAGCGACTGCGGCATTGCCTCTGAATCGACTTCATCAGGGGGCAGTGTCAGAGACATTGCTGCCATGCTTGAAATGTCCAAATTAGGAGGTGGAGCCAAAGGAACTGGCAACAATTACCTGCAGGTGACTGAATATAACCCACACAAAAAGAATAATGCTACTGCTTATTTGCACTTTAAAGCATTAGTTCAGACATTTTTTCCTTTACACCAAATGTAGTCAAGACATGTTTGGTCCGAAGTTTGCTTCTTGGAGCTACAAGGCTAATGTAACTACCAAAAATGGAAACCTGGGACCACTGGCACATTTTATATTCATTTCCAATAACTCATAAACTTTCTTTGATACACAACATATATATTTCTATGCAAAACTTTATGTGGCCCTGATTAAATTAAATAATTTGTTGATTTTCTAAATGAAAGCAAGTTAACACATCCTCTGGAGAACACACTTCTGCACAATTCAATGCACACTTACCGTTTACTTGCTGAATTTAACACATTGGGGAAAAAATAAATCATAAAATGTGGCCTCTGCAGAAGTTATGGCACATTTTAGATTCAGATTTTAATAAATGAAATTCCTGCAAAGAAGTGTGAATTCTGTATTAAAATTTTTAGAAAATGCCGCACTTAAGTTTGTTTTTGACTAGAGGCATGCAAACTTATGCATACAACTGTACATGTGTGCAGCAATGTATAATGTCAATAATATATTTTATTAGTAATATTAAATAATATTACATTTAATACAAGTGTGTTACTCACTCTCCAACTCAGAACATGCATCTAGTTGCATGAAAGTTTAACAGTGCAAAGCCAGCCTAAGGCATGAGAATGAGATAATCAAGTCATAACCATGACTTAGTAAGGTGTGAGAATGAGATAATCAAGTCATAGCCATGGCTTAATAAGGTGTGAGAATGAGATAATTAAACTGTAGCCATGACTTAGTAAGGTGTGATAATGAGATAATCAGGTCATAGCCATGGCTTAATAAGGTGTGAGAATGAGATAATTAAACTATAGCCATGACTTATTAAGGTGTGAGAATGAGATAATTGAGTAATAGCCATGACTTAGTAAGATGTGAGAATGAGATAAGGCATAGCCATAGCTTAGTAGTGCGAGAACGAGATAAGGAGTGAGAATGAGATAAGTAATAGCCATGACGTAAGGCTTGAGAATTATATATTTAAGTAGTAGCCACAACTTCATAAGCCATAAGAGTGAGATAATTAAGTCATAACCATGACCTAGTAAGGTATCAGAATGTAATAATTAAATTGAAGCCATGACCTAGGTGTGAGTATGAGGTAATTAAAGTGTGAGAATGAGATACATAATAGCCATGACTTACCAAGGTGAGAGAATGAGATAATTAAGTAAAAGCCATGACTTAGTAAGGTGTAAAAATGAAATAGTTAAGTCATAGCCATGACCTAGTAAGGCATGACAATGAGATAATTAGTAGGGTGTGAGAATGAGATAATTAAGTTGTGGCCATGACTTAGCAAGATGTTGTAGTTAGGATGCCTCAGCATTACACAAACATTGAATGCACTGTTTATTTACTCTGTTCCTCAGGCAAGTCCAGACCTCCTGCGACGTAACCGTGACACTCTGAAACTCTAACGAAGACATGCAGACCCGCCGTCGCACCATCAGTGGGCCCGTCACTAGCTACACAGACGCCCAGCCTAATAACACCCAGGAAGGTGACATTACTTCACGTTCTTACACCACACAAGCAAACCTGGAGACAACACGAATCATGGAGGAGGCTGCACCTCAGAAACAGGCACCAATGAGGCTGGCCCCAGAGCCCCGCCCTCGCTCCATGCTTAGTCACCTGGAAGGAGGTGTCCCTTCCCTCCCTCAGGAGGAGTGGTCACGAATGGACGCCACGGCAACATTGAGAAGGCCCCGGCCACCGCACGACTCAGACTGCGAGAGGTTCCAACTCACTGAGACCAGCACAATACGGCGCCGCCCAAAGGCACTAGGGACCCCACAGAGGAACGACACAGAGAACGGTCCAGAAAGCACCCGCAGGAGGCCGGTATCAGAAGCTTGTGCTGGGGAAGGCAGTGAAGGGGAACTGCGGCCAGATGATTTCAGAAGAGTGCTGAAGCCTCCAGTTTCCCCCAAACCTTCGCTTGCCCTTAAGAAGCCTGATCCTCCAACGCCCACCAGGAGGGTGCCACTTCCTGGACCAGAAGGCCAGCACAGCCCAGGTAAGACTGAATTTTTACTCTGTCTGTTGTTCAATGATATGTGTCCACTTTATTTTAATCACTAGTGTGATCTTAGATTATGCCATGACCATTAGATTATGCTATGACCATTCCAAGGTCATTTAGGTCAAAGATTCCATGACCAAGTTTGGAGTAATTTGTCATGTTAATTATTTATGTCATCTTATATTTTCATTGTGTGCTTATTTCATGATGAATGGCCAATAGAAATAACTTAAAATCTCATTACATTAACAGACAGTTCCAAACATTTTTCAAACTTTCTGGATAATTCAATCAAAGAGATGTAAACAAAGTCATTCAGAGTGGTTTGATGTGAAATGTTTTATTGTAGAGAAACTTACAGTCTTTCTCTTTACAATGGTGGTGATAGGAACCAGGGATCATGATGTATACATCCCCAATATATCCCCATTTTATTTACTATCCAAAACCACCAGTGAACCAACACATCTTCTCAGTTATTATATGAAATCATGATGGTAAAATAGTAGTCAAATTTCTTTGGGTACTGTTTTTGATGTAACAATTTGCATGAATGTATTAAAAATGTTTTCGTTCAAAACGTTACCATGAAACTATTATGAAACAGTATTTCAGGCATCAGACAATGTATTTATTAGAATCCTTTTGTATAACAACTTTTTGCTTCCCACTATAGATTTCTGGTTCCCATCAACATCACTTTAAGTTTCTTTAGAACAGAGCATTTCAAACCCAAGCACTCTGAATGACTGCTTACATCTTAATTGTTGAGTTATGCAGAACTGTTGAAAGTCAATCAAAATTAATTTCTTCTGTAGAGTTACTGCTTCAAAGATATGAGTTTTTCATGACAGAGATGATAAAACTTTAGTCTGCAATGTAGATTTAAACATAGACACCAAACATTTTATGTGTTTTATTTAATATTTATTTATTTAGGCAAGTATTAATTATTAAGCCACTAACAACCGATATGATTCTGAAATAATTATGCATCCTTAATAGCATACTATAACAATCTATTACCAATCATTTTTATCAGGCTATCTCCCTTGAGAATATTATTGAAAACACTGAAATGGTAGTGTGCAGTCGTATGTTCGAACACCTCTGATTTTCTAAGAACAAACCTAAATATGACCAATTCTGCAAATTGGGGAACACTTTATTTGGATGGCCCACTTTAGATGCTTTATGGATATTTAATTTTTTTTTAAGTTTCATTCAACTAAATATCTACTAAATTGATCATAATTGTCTTTAATCCTAGACCTGGCTGTAATCCTAACCCTTAACCTTAAACTCAACCCAAAGCCTAAACCCAGCCCTCATCCTGGTCCTAGCCCTAACCCTGGTCCAAATCCTAACCCTAACCCCACCACTGTTTAGAATCAACTGATAGTTTGTTAACAGTATGAACATCTGTAGATAATCTATAGGGGACTATAGTGGACTATCCAAATAAAGTGAGACTTCAAATTGTACTGCACAGTTTAACATAATGGAAAAAATAAACAATAAAAATATTAACTTTTGCACAGGCCACTTTTTATGTTTTATTATTTTTCCAATATGTTACATTCAGCAAATAAACAGTAATTTTGCATTAAAATGTGCAAAAGTGTGTTCTCTGTAGAAAATCAATAGACCAGGGGCGTCCAAACTTTTGCATACGACTGTATTTGTAGCCCTTTCAGTGCCACTAGAATAATGACATAATATTATAAGGAAAAAAGGTATAAAAAGTACATTGTGCCTTTTTTTGTCTCTTTAGTGGAGGTCAAAAAGGTCCCACCACCAGTGTCTCCAAAACCAAGCCCACCTCCAACGCTCCCCAAACCAGTGAAAATAAAGCCAATTCAGACCCCAGGATCTTCCCCAGCTCCTCAGCCACAAATTCTCACCCCACCTAGTGCCCTAAACACACATGCATCCTCCCCTACCACTCTTCTCCCTGAGCCAGCGGAGTATCCCACCCTCTGCCCTGTGATTCCAAAGCCAGTGGAGACTTACACTCTCTCTCCACGGGCTGCGACTTCTCCTGCTCAGAGCCCACAGACACCCCAAACCCCCCAAACTCCCCAGACCCCTTCCACCCCTGGGTCTGGCTCAGCGCCAGTAAAGCCCCCGAGGTCCTCCATGGCAGGCCTTTCTGTGGATATTCCTGGTCCTCTGGAAGTAGAACTGGCTGGGGTGGAGGCCATGCAGCAGAGGCTGAGGGAGGTGGAAGAGGAGCGAAAGAGAGAGAGAAAAGAGGACAGAATGGACGGCACTGGCCAGAGCCAAGTGAGGAGAGCTTCTGGAGAGGGTTTTGGAGGAAGTGATGTCACAAGGAGTGCTGAAGGGTCAGGGCAGGTTGTGATGAGGAGGAGGAAAGTGGGTGTGGCCAGGCAGCCACAGGTTGAGGGTGAGCTTGAAGGCTTAAGGCAAGACGGAGGTGTGAGAGCAGAGGCGGTCCAGCAGGGGCTGCTGGAGGCTGAAGCAGGAGGCTTGTTTGGAGGCCATGCAGCAGAAGACATGACCCAGTTCAGGCTGGAGGAGACCAGCGCCTCCCTAGCTGCTGCTCTGGAAGTGGTAGAGGAGAAGATCAAGAAGGAGGACAAGTACGTAAATCCTTTTTTGCATGAACATCTTTAAATTCCTAAGAGAAATGATGTATATTCTAACATTAATTCACAAGTTAGCTGATAGTTTGGTTAAAAATTTACACAAATTTGGACGAAACCAAAACCCAAAAGTTGCTGGTTCAAATCCCATGACCTTGGGCAAAGCTTTTATCCCCCCAGAAGGCTAACTGGGGTGGCCAGTACCCTAGTGATAAGAGATGTGAGCCAACTACCGTTGAAGGTTCAGATTTCAGGACTGGCTGGGGTACACCTGATTGTGCACTTAATCCCCTGCTACCCCAGGTAGTCCTGCTCTGCTGATGATACTGTGATGCCCCCAGACTGGGCAGAGTTTGGCAGCAAAAGGACACAGTTCCCTTGAAGGATCAGTAGTACATTTTAGGGGAGTTAATGAAGGCATCTAAAGTATGAAATAGTTAATAATTTTTACTTAAGTGAAAAAGTGGCCTTCTGTCAAATAAGGCTATTTAGACCCCGCCCTCTCTTGTCACAACACCACTTATTTCCTGAGATGCATTAACAAGACATTCCACTAAAGAACCTTTAACAAGAAACACAGTAATTAGGGCGATATAATGAATGGAAATGTTGATTTTACCATAAAATCTCACATTTTGAATATTTATATTTGTCCTACAAAAAACAAAACCTTTAAGCATAAGCCTTTGAATCAAAATGTCTTGAAGGAAAACACACAATTAAACTTTCAACTTTTTAAACATCTATGCTAATTTCTGCTAGTGACCCAGTGGAATTCAGTGCTAAGTTAACAGCAATTCACATTAACATTTTTTTGGCCATTGTAACTTAAACACAGACATATTTGCATATATTTTAAGCAGTTTCACACTGACTCTTTCAGTAGTGAGCTCTGGCATTGAGCTGCTGCCACTGTTTTCCATTTCTAACAACCCACTGATTAGGCTGCCACTCATATTCACAGCCAGTGACATATCTACAATGTCCAGAAGGCCTAGAGTGACATTTTTTTTCTCACAAAACCGATCTCACCCATTGTAAAACAAAACGTGCCTGGTTGATTCCTATTTCGTACTTATGCTGATTGTTGTTAGGACTTACGTTCAGCTCCTGAAGCCCTAATCAATAGGATAGCTCACTTTGCTACTTCTACCTAGATACCATGGAGACTGGCCAATTTTCGGGTGGCTGTTTCAAGACCTTTTATTTCCAGCCAAAACTTAACGAGGAAACAAGAGCATTACTGTAATACTTGCAGATTTTAAACACAAGCATGATTCTTTTACACGAAAAATAAAACTAAAAATGCAACCATGTATTTTAAAGCCCAGAAATCAAGGCGTTCAGAGGCTCAGAGGATTCCTTCTGCAAATTTGTTTGCTTCTGCAATGCTTCAACAAATTTGACTGAAATGCCCATCCATATTCCTTGTAGCTGGCAAAGCACTTTAGTACAAATTTAGTACAAATTTGTAATTTCAAATTATATCATAAATGAATGATTCATTAAAAATATTAAAATCACATTTTTTTCTAGTGATTATTTTCAATGATGTCATGTTAATTCTACTTTCTTGTTCTATGCCTTCCCCTCTTCCCCAGTTCTGTGGTGGAGAACAAGACCACAGTCAACATTCTGGATGACATCGGGAGCATGTTCGATGACCTAGCAGACCAGCTGGATGCCATGTTGGATTAAAAAAAAAAAAAGCACAAGACAGAATTGCCAAGCCTAGACTTCTTTTGGTCTGTAAGCACCAAACCTGCTCAAGCTTAAGCACATCCCGGTGAGTTGAGCAAAGTCCGATTTAAACAAGGACTCGTTGATTCCAACAAGAAGAGATGGAGATGCTGGGGTGCGGAGCCCTTGAGTTTTGAAGATAAAGAGCTTCGGAGTCTGGTGGTTGACGTAGGCACCCGGCAACGTCAGTACCATCCCGAGTGTTTCTCCTGCCCTTCTCGCCCATGTTTGTCCAAGGTTCGGAGCCATGGTCCTCAGCTCGAGCTTGGAGCTACTGACTGCTATCATGCTGCTTCCAGAGATAAGCACAATTTAATGCTAACAAGCTATTTAAATTCCATTTAGGTCGAGAAACACGAGCATCGTGTCGGAGTGTGCGTTTGTATGTATGTATGTACCGTTTGTATGTGTGGCCTTGGTGTTTCCTTTAACAATGTTATGGTCCGATGGCCGATTGTGTATTTGTTTTTAAACGATTAATGGAATCCTAAACATTTATTGTGCTCTCTGGGAAACCAGCTAACAGGTTTGCTATGGCTCATAACTGACTGCAAAGGGGAACTCCAGACGATTATGCCCAGCCCTTTTCTCCTTGGGATACCCCCAGAGGTGAAGAACATTTGCGTTAACTTAAAAGCAAAAGTAGGAAAAACCCAATTTGATGGTCTTGAGAAGACCAACCTGGTTTTCCTCTTCCATGTAGTGGATTTCCGAGTTCCCCTTTGTCAACGATTAAAAGAAAACGAGCTCTGGACATTGAGATATATCGTGATATTTACGTTGTCGTTGTTGTTCGTGTGTGTGAATGTGTGACCGTGTTTAATTGTGTAGTTTTTTTGCATTGACAAATCCCACTTTTCAGCAGATAGAGTGGTGTTATACATAGATATAGGCTGAATGCAGAATAAGATGCTGGACGACAGTGTAAATACGGCATATAGATTACAATTACCATTCATAGAGTAGAATTTGGAATGCGAAAACCTGGAATGCAACAGGTGCCCACTCAGTCCCAATCAATGTGATCAAATGAAAAAAGTTGGTGTGGTTGTGCGCCAGAGTGTGAGGAGTTTAGCGTGTATGTGTCTGTTTGAGAGACCAAATGAGAGGATGTATGTGTTTTGCATATGCGTCGGCCCATTAAAGAATGCTTGCATTCTTGTTCTGTAACTGCACAGAGAAGAATTCATTTTTATTGACGATGACAAAATGGCGTAGTCTATGTAAGTGACTAAAATGACGTAATTTAATGTGAAGTCGTTGCAAGAAGCTTAAAATTACAGAGCAATATTTTCTATCAACTCTCCGTGTTGATGATTTAGTTTTATAAATAACGGTAATACGTCAAAGCCAGCCATCTTGAGTATAGCAGACAGCTGAACCTAACATCATCTCCAACAGTCATGACAATCCTCTATCATGTGCTTGATTATCTGCAAAGTCAATGAGATGGACATTAGAGTATTGAACCTTTTATCATGTAAAATATATGTAATATTCCAGTTGTTATTTTGTGTAAACGCTCAACTGGCTAATGTGTTTGACCCTGGTGATCCTTGCAGACCTCTTCCATGTAAAGAACATTGAGAGTATGTGGAATTATGATAAATAAACTTTATGAATTATGAATACAAACGGAATTGATGTCAAGTGGTTTGTCAGTTACACAGAAATATATGTTCAAGTGCAGAACTGTCAAAAGTGTTGCCCCTGTTGTCAGCCCTTTGCAGCCAGTCAACTGTAAACACTATTGTGGTGCGATGGAAGTGTCTAGAAGCAACAACAGCTCAGCCATGAAACAGTAGACCACACAAAAGTGTGTAAAAATCTCCTGTCCTCTGTTGCATCACTTGCTACAGAGCTCCAAACTGCCTCTGGAAGCAACATCAGCACAAGAACTGCGTGTCGGAAGCTTCATGAAATGGGTTTTCATGGCCAGATCACTATGTGCAATGCCAAGTGTCGGCCGGAGGGGTGTAAAGCACACCGCCACTGGACTCTGGAGCAGTGGAAACGTGTTCTCTGGAGTGACGAATCACACTGACATCAATCTGTGTTTGGTGGATGCCAGGAGGACACTGCCTGCTGGAATGCATAGTACCAACAGTAAAGTTTGGTGGAGTAGGGATAATGGGCTGGGGCTGTTTTTCTGTGATTGGCCCTTTTGTTCCCAATGAAGAGTAATGTTAATGCTACATACAATTAAATACACTAAGAAGAATTTTAGCACAAAGTTCACTCTTTCAAAACTCTTCACACCCCTCTCTACAGAAACAGGCAGCTTATTCGCTTATGTATCAGCAGTTTGTCTAGAACCATTGTCATTTCTTTTGGGCTTTGATTGTTGTCTGATTTGCGAATTAGCAAACTGATAGGCAGTTTATTTTCATGTTAGATATTTGCATTTGCAACTTTTTAAACAGTACTCGTTGAATGCATATTGTATTTTTAATTCAATTTAGCACTGAAAATGCTTGTAGCAATCGTAAAAAAAAACAAAAAGAGAAAGATAGTAAATCTCTGATGGTATATCCTGTCTTATCACGTAAAAAAAAAAAAAAAACTTTTGAACTTCAAATGACAGACCACTTATTCTCCAGGGTCTATTTTGGTTTTTCCATCTGAATTTATATGACCAAATCGTAAGGCAAATTATTCAGTAACTGCATGAAATAAATGTAAAATTGTTATTTATTTATTTATGTTTTGTTAAAGTTCCCCTCAAATTAACAGAACGTGTGCTTTATGATCACACATATTGCCACAATTGCTTACAATTTACTGCTGAAAGCCAAAAATCTCAGACGCTCTTTGTATTTTTTTTTATAAGAATAATTTTACAGAGCAGATCACTGAAGAGACGCCATCTGTTTATAGTTTAAAGCCCAGATTTATGGAAAAAATGGTCAACTTACAGTAGACATAAAAAATTGTGAGTTCAGCTTCTTTTATTATAAGGGCTTAAAATTACATCACCCATCTATTTGACTGGAAAGAAGACAGTTACAGCTCTCATATGACCCCCACCTTTTGAATGTAGCTTATGAAATATGAAAGTTATGAAGAATATGATGAAGTGCGTTTTGGAACCACCGGTGGTCCCAAGGAGTTAAAAAAGGTTAGTTGAACCATTTCTTTTTGTAATTTGAAGCATTTTTATTGCTTCGTTCATTATGAAATGTTTGCACAACGTAAAGAGCAGATAGTGTTTTCAAATTCTGAAAAAAAGAAAAATGACAAAAAAGGAGATGAGGTTTTGTTCCAGGAGTGCCGTTTAGTTTATGATGAACAGAGGATACCCCTTTAGATATATATAGCACACACAAAGAAGGTTCTTTAGTAAAGGCAATGGTTCTGTTTAGAACCATGAGTTCTACGTAGAACCATGTCATGCTTAAATGGTTCCTTGTGTGGTGAAATGGTTCTTCAGATTGATGGAGAACGTGTTGTATATGGTTCTATATAGCACAAAAACGGGTTCTTCTATTGTAATGAGCTTGACATCGTAACAATAGACGAACCTTTTTGGTGCTATATAGAACCATTTTCAAAAAGCCTCTAGAAAAAAACATATATAACACATTTTCCATCAATCTGGAGAACAATTTTATCATTCAAAGAACTGTTTCACCATTTAAGCACACATGGTTCTAAATAGAACCATTGCCTTTACTAAAGAACCCTTAAAGAACCATCTTTCTTAAGTGTGCACTTCATGAAAAACTGAAGTTTGGGGTTTTTTATGGTGAATCATGTAACAAGAGCAGGTGATTTGCATTTCTTGTGGTTGTGTTTGTAGCTGTGTGTGTATGTGTATGTGGGTGTGTGTCAGAGAGAGAGAGATAGAGAGAGAGAGAGAGAGAGAGAGAGAGAGAGAGAGGGAGAGAGATAGAGAGAAGGGGAGGGATGAGAAGTGAAAGTGAAAGCATTTCTAGTCGCATTGCAGAAATTTGTATAACAGTCAGCTCAGACTCAGCAAGGTAAGTCTTATTTCTTATTGTATTCAAGGACAGAATAACCTAAATAAAGCTCGTCTCATTATGATTCATCATTATTTCTTTGCTGCATGAAATTAAGATCAATGAAAATGTCTTTTCAGGATTTTGCCTTTGAGAAAGGGCATGTATGTTTCAGATAAGGGCGGTAATTGCTTGATTAACTGTACATTGTTACTATACTCTTATTAAAGCAGCACTATGTAATATTAAAGCAATAAGCCACGAGAGGCCATGCATTACTGCAATTTTACCACAGGGAAGGTTGTTCTTAGGCACTGTGATGATGTAAGGTAATCAGTAAAGACTGATTGTATATACTTAACTATACTTACCTGTGGACTGATCATCATTGCTTCTAAGGACTGAAAAGAGAACTGAGTGGGTTCTTCTGAGTTTTACTTACCTGGATGAGTCCATCCTCTGTAGAAGAGGAGGTAAGAACAAAACCAGTGAGAGAAAATTGTTAAATGTACAGTGCTAATGACATCATGAATGTGAATATGGACAGTATATGAAGAATATGAACTATAATTACTGTTGTATGTAAATATATTTAAATATTCAGAGCTCTTGTTTTACCCAGGTCAGTAATGGCTTATTCTAGGGGAGGAGCTTACTAAATATAAGCAGCATTACTGGGGGTACAGGGGAGATTCTTTCAGCTCAGTAGTTGACTGAATGGTATTGAGTGGTTATGATCTGTATGACTTTGCAGTCATTGATCTATGTTCTCTAGTAGTGGAGACTGTTATTGCTCATTTTGTTTTTCGGTGTGAATGTGTGCGCTTGTAAATATGTAAATAGCTGTGAACGTAGGTGTGTAAATAAAGGTGACAGGGAGAAGAAGAACTATTGTGCCCAACTTTTTCCAGGTCCCCAGACCATTTGCCCAACACTACCCATAGAGTGTGCCAACTGCAGCATACTGCCGGGTCAAGGGACACGATGCCAAATCGCAGTAAATCCCCCTTCCCTGTGATAAAATCACTGTAATGCATGGCCTCCAGCAGCTTATTGCTTTTATAAAATGGTAAAATAGGAAAAAATACACAATTTTTCAGAACATAATTTAAGCTAATTTTAATAATAATCAACATAAATAAGTATTCCTTTAGAATATAGTATTGTTGCCAAGCAATCATGGACCACTGAATGAGGAGAACGTTTGGTCGCCCATTGCTGTATATTGTGATTGTTTCATGAATTTTTAAACTTTTTGTCATATAACAATGAACAATGAACATATGACAATACAGCACTGCTTTACTTTATAAGTACTATTTGGTCACTAAATCAATGCAAGTCTTATATAACACTCATGCTGCGGCTGAAACTCAAATAACTCCCTGCTCCCTACATAGTGCACTATGTAGGAATTTACATACATTTACAAAGAAAGAACAATTTAAATGTTTTACAACATTGACATTTCTTGCACTAAGTACAGTTTCTCTGTGCTTTTTCCACCTCTGGTTTTCTGCTTACACTGTTCTAAATGTCAATATTATTCTGCACACCAAGCAATACTTCTCTCTGCTTACGGATTTGACATTTTGTCCTCTGATTTAAGTTTATTAATAACTTCAATTTCTTATTGCCTTTCAGGATTATTGTGACTAAGGAAAACTGCAAAAATGGGATTGAGGAAATCAAAGCCACAGCCCATACCAGGTTAGATTACTTCATGTTAGCAAAATGTTTTAACATTCTTGGGGCTAGTTCCAAAAAAGCCGGGACAGTATGAGAAATTCTAATAAAAAACAGACAGCAGTGATTAGTAAATTCTGTTTGACCTGTATAATCCTGAAAACAGTACAAAAGAATTTCCAAGTGATTTCTGCAACATGTTCCAAAAAACGTTGGGACAGGAGTGTTTAACCTTTCATTTTACCAGTACTTAATAAACAAACATAAAAAACACACAAACTTATCCAGCTTTGAAAGTGGAATTTTTGCCATTCTTCTGTCATACAAGTCTTCAGCTGTGCAACCATACAGGGCCTTTGCTGTTTTGTTATATTTTCAGTTCAATAATGTACAACACATTTTCAATGGGAGACAGTTCTGAGCTCTGGACTGCAGGCAGTCCAGTCTACCGGCCACACTCTCTGATTAACCATAATGTTGTAACGTGCAGAATGTCATGATGAAATCAGCATGGACGTCCATGAAAAAGACACTGTATAGAGGATAGCATACGTTGCTCTAAAATGTGTTCAGTGTTAATAAAGTTAAGTTCCCCAATAATCCCCCATGCCAAGACCCTGGCTTTAGATTTTTACACTGGTTGCAGTCTAGATGGTTCTTTACTTCTTTGTCCCAGAGAACACGACATTGATTATTTCCATAAACAATCTGAAAAATTGACTTGTCAGAACACTATACATGTTTCTGCTATACATCAGTCCATTTCAGATGAGCTTGAGCCCAGAGAAGTAGGCAGCATTTCTGGACGCTGTCAACATACGACTTTCACTGTGCAGAGTACAGTCTTAACTTGCATTTGTGGGTATGTGGAGATATTCGTCACAGAAGCATGCTAGTTTTTAATGCAGTGCCATTTGAGGCGATTGATAAAATGGATGAGAAACAAAGAGGTGGTTTTACTGAAGTGGCTGGTCAGTGCAGTCAACTGTAGAACTAAGCCTGAAAGTGAAAGGGAGATCAAACCTGAGATGTGGTTACAGACAACCTGTATAAACATGAAAAGTATGATCATATATGACAAAGTAATATTTACTCTGACTTTGCAACTCTGGTCTATTTTCCTTTTGATATTATAATCATACTGTAATTAGTATTTTTAGTACCTAATACACATTTAGTATTCCTCCCTGTGACTGCATTTTGTTTATTTCACAGACTTTGATAGACCATGGAGGGACATGGACTGGAAGTAAGTAAATCATTCCGCTGTAGGCAGTAAATGTCTGACATACTTGGCTCTAACCTAATAATAAATATTCAGAATAAACTAGTTATAAATAAATAAATAAATACATAGCAAATCACCAACAAAAGATTCAATAAAAGGAGAAACTCTCTAAGAGCATGAAGCACAACCACTGTGAAGAACCAAGACTCAAAAGAGAAATTCCATAAAACATGAAAAAGAACAACTGTGAGGAACCAAGACTCAAAAGAGAAATCCCATAAAAACATGAAGAAGAACCACTGTGAAGGACTAGATGCAAAAGGAGACACTTCATGAGGGCATGAGGAAGAACTGCTTAGAGGAACCAAGACTCAGAAAGAGAAACTCCCTAAAAACATGAAAAATAACCACTGTGAGGAACCAAAACTCCAAAAGAGAAACTCCATTAGAGCATGAAGAGGAACCACTGTGAGGAACCAAGACTCGGAGGGGAAACTCCATAAGAGCATGAAGAAGAACCTCTACGAGGAACCAAGAGTGAAAAGGAGAAACTGTACAAGAGCATGAAGAAGAACCACTGTGCAAAAACCAAGACTCAAACAAGAAAACCCATAAAAGCAGGGTACAACCATTGTGAGAGACCAAGATACAAAAGGAGAAACTCCATGCAAGCAGGAGGAAGAACTGTGAGAGGAACCAAGACTCAAAAGGAGAAACTCTTCAAGAGCGTGAAGAAGAACCACTGTGAGAAACCAAAACTCAAAAGGAGAAACTTCATGAGGGCATGAAGAACCACTGTGAAGAACCAAGACTTCAAAAGAGAAACTCCATAAGAGCACAGTGAAGAACCATTGTGTGACTTCACGCACCCTGTTTTCTGTCCAGCCTTTTTATTTAATTGTGCTAAAATTTTAGTTACGACAAAGTAGAAATATGCACCTCTCCTCTAAGAAAAACATATATAAGATAAACAGTTGGACCTTTATTTTGTACCTTTGAGGGTACTTTTGCATTGGTAGTGCCTTGATGAATGAAAAATGTACCTGCACAGAACCTTTTTTTCTGAAAGTGTTGAGACTCCAATGCTCTATTTATAAATATAAATGAATATGCAAGTTGAAATGAACGTGATCTGCTTTTTAATTCTTTAAAACATTTAAGCTTGTTCATCTCGTACAGTGAAAAGGAAAACTTGGAAGCCAAGTTAAGACACATTCAGCTGAACCATCCAGAGCTCAGACGTGTCAGAATCCTGCTACATGGACCAGTAGGAGCAGGAAAATCCTGCTTCATAAACTCAGTGCAAAGCGTCTTCCATGGAGAGATTAAAACCAGGGCATTCGAACAATCAAATGCTAAAAAAAGCTGCACAAAAACGGTGAGTATATTTGCAGAATTTTAGCAGAATTCAGAACCATTAGCCAACTGTGTTTGCACACAGAGGAATTAGACCTCCGCATTTAACCCATCTGTGCAGTGAAACACCCACATGCATGCACACTAGTGAACACACACACTAGGGGGCAGTAAGCACACTTGCCCAGAGCGGTGGGCAGCCCTATATTCATACATTAATGTCTACAAAAGTAGTGATGTATGTCATTTCTGTTGATGAAGTTGATTGGTGGGGTGGGTGGAGTCTTCAATGATGCTGTGGCATTTCTTTAAAATGTTTTGTGTACATGAGAGTAAAGCTAACCACAAAGGCGTTTCAGGGTCAATGTTAAAAAAAAATAAAAATAATAGACCTTGAGAATAAAGTCATAATATTTCAAGAATAAAGTTGTAGTTTTTAGAATAGAATCATAATATTTTGAAAATAGAATCTTAAACTTGATTTTGCGTTGGGGCCTGTTACTGTACTGGCGAGGACAAAGACCCTGAGCATGTCTGAGTTCCACTTACTCCTTCCGGATCATTCATTTTGATTATCAGTCTCAATGTCTCCTGTGAAACTACATGCCCTCTTTGAATGGCATGAAAATGTAACCACCCATAGCTGTGTTGACGGCCATTGCCTGCAAGTTCCCCTTCAACAGAACAGACAATTTCCTCCAAGTCAGCTGTTTCAGAGTTCTTATACTATAACAATCTGGTGCTGATGTGTCAGGAGACAGGGAGACCAAGTATTTCTTTATTGGTAAAACCGATACGAACAAATTACTCTACCAACTCCTCAACGTCCCTCGTTTTAACACGAGGAGGTTGCTACCTTCCTTTTGCAAACCCTTTGGCCACAATACTGTGACTGTTCCTGGTAATAATGCCACTTTAATGTCGTAATTCTATTACTTAGTTTCTCGAAATATTACAACTTAATTCTCAAAATATTACTTCTTTGTCAAATTATTATGACTTTATTCGCAAAACAGCTACAATATTATCTCAAAATATTATGACTTTATTTTCAAAGTCTATTTTATGGTTTTTTAACAGTGGCCCTAAAATGCCATTGTAAGCTAAAACTCTACAAAGAGCTGGGTTGGAAAAAAGTTAACATGGAAAAGCAAATTGCTTTTGACATTTTGTTTCATCTGACCCTGAAATCTCATTTGCAATTGCATCGTCACCCTCCAGCTCTGCCAAAATGAAAATGTACTTGCAATCCTGTTTGCAATTGCATTTTCACTCTCAAGAAGGCACTCCTGTGGGACATCGGAAGGGACTTTTAAGGGCAGGCGTGTTCTAAGAGGAAGTGACGAGAAGGTCTAAACTTTGGCGGTACTTGCCAACCAGCTCAAGGATAAGTCTGTCCAAAGTGATTTCATATTCTTTTGTGAGGAAGTGTTTCTTGACTGACTGAGAGAGATTGTAATGGCACAAAAGCAAACGTTAGTGGCGTTGTGCCGAGGCTCGCAGAACCATCGGAGGAACTGGGCGGCCAGTGATGAATATTCCTATTAAGGAAGCGCATTTCCACTGGGTTAGTGCAATATTTCGTAGCCCTGCTCCTGGGGGAACTTAATAATAAGATGATCTTGGAAAACTGGACCCAGCTCGTTAACAGCCCCTGATTTTTTGTAACTGGAGTGTTAAAGCAGGAAAATCACTGAAATGTGCAGGGCAGCATTGCTCTAGGACCAGTGTTCCTCCGACCATCCTGCGAGCCTCTGCCCAAAGCTGCAAAGCTGGTCATAATGTTACTAAGATGGCTGCTTGTGTAGCTACAAGCTCTCCTAGTTAGTCAAGAGACACTTCCACACAAAAATCACAATGGACAGATTTATCCTCGGCCTGGTTGGCGAGTGCTAAAATGTCACTAGCAGTAGTTGCTAATGCGCTGGTACTGCCAAGATTTAGACTTATTTGTTTGTCCCTTCCTCTTATAGCATGCTCCCTCACTTAAAAGTCTCTCCCAGCATCCCACCCACAGCATTTGGTTGTGACAGTGAAAACACAATTGCAAACAGGATTGCGAATTACCATTTCATTTTGGCAAAACTTGAGCATGACAATGAGGAATTGCAATTGCAAATTGGCAATTTATTATTCTGTTTTTAATATGTCAGAGCCAGACCATTAAGACAATGTAATGAAATGTCAAAAAGACTTTGCTTTTCCACTTTCATTTTTCCAGCCTTTATGCACAAAAATGCAGATGCAAATACATGTTTTGTATTTGAATTTGAATCATATCTTTAATGATAATCACTCATATGGGAAATGCAATTATAAATACACAATTGAATTAGCATCTTGAAATTTGCATTTGAGTTTGAAAGCTTTCTGAAGCAGTGAAGCGCTCCTATAAATTGTATCGGGTTGTAAGGGTTCATTACTCAAAGCTTTTAAAACCAGTGCACATTAATGACACCTGTCAATTAAAAGCACAAACAACAGCTATAAATCGACTCTGTCCTGGGGGGATGTTTTAGGATAAAAGTCTAAATCTTTATTCTCTAGCGATTTAAAAGCTTGTCATTTGTTTCTAAAGCACCACAGTTCACTTCTTCTCTAAAGCAGTCAAATGATTGGGTGCTCAACAAAGCTGCAGACATCATTAATCATATGTGTTTTTGAAAATGATCCAAGCATTGATGCATTTTTTTTTGTACACTTGCTCTGGAGCTCCAGTAACATGGGTAACATCACTACTGGTAAAAGCTCTCATGAGTCTACCTCTCCCCAATATTGCCTTGGGCTTTCTAAGCCTGATCTCAAGTTACTTAAGTCTCAGCATGAGTATTAGACCAAGATCTATATCCTGGATCAAGCTCTCATAAACTTCTGGTCCATAGCCTCTGTATTTATTGAGCCTGTAAAGGGTTTAACAGTAAAAACTGAGTTGGACTACAATACCTGCAGAGCTAAAAATACAACAAGCATGATTATTCGATGAAATAAAATGGACCAAAAATTTCAATTGTAACATAATATATGATACATTTTTTGTTCCCAGAAATCATTAGGCTTTCTCTGAAGGCCAAAAGGCAATGAGCTTCCCTCTGCTGCATACCACATCGGCATATCACAGTGTCCAGAAAGAATGGACAGAGAAGTTTAGGCTTTGACAGGGTGGACATAAGGCTAATCTACTTCGAAAATAAAGTTTTTGTTCATCTTCAGTGGTCGTTCACCATTGATCACAGGAAAGTTACACATTCTTGTACATCTCCCATTTTAGGTTTCTTATTTTATAAATTTGTAAATCTTTTAATATCGCTAGGCCAGTGTTGATTGGCCTTGTTTTTCTCCTCACAGTACAAAGCCTACACCACTACCAACAGGAATTCTGAGACTCTGCCATTTGTCTTCAATGATATTATGGGCCTGGAACAAAATGACGAAGATGGAATTCATCCTGATGATGTTGTTAATGCATTGCTGGGCCATATAAAAGATGGCTACAAGGTAGATAAGTCCAAAACCATAATTAAGAATATTCTGAAACATCAAGGAATTGATGTCTTGAGGGACACATTGGAGGTCCATTAAATCCATGCAAAACTCTCTCTCTCTCTCTCTCTCTCCTCTCTCTCTCTCTCTCTCTATTCTCTTCAGTTTAATCCTGCTTCTCCCCTGAGTGATGAAGACGCAGGCTACATAAGAGAACCTAGTCTGAAGGACAAAGTTCACTGTCTAGTGAGTGTTGTGCCTGCAGGCTCCATCTCACAAATGGACATCGGTGTCATCAACAAGATGGAAGTCGTTAGGAAGAAAGCCATTAGCCTGGGTGAGTTTTTGGAATGTACAGATAGCGCAAAAATGAAAGGAAAAAACAAAAAAAGTGTCATTGGAACTTATTGGGCCACCATGTGCAACCAGAACAGCTTCAGTGTATTTTTGCATAGAGTCTACAAGTCTCTGGAACTGTACTGGAGGGACGGCACACCATCCTTCCAAAAGATGTTCCCTAAATTAGTGTTTAGATGATTAGATGTGGAGCATACAAGTCAGTCCAAATCTCCTATACATGTTCAGCTAGATTGAGAAATGGTGACTGTGATGGCCATAGCATGATTTACATCATTTTTGTAATCATAAAACCATTCTGTTACCCCTCATACCCTGTGGATGATGGTATTGACCATTTCAGTGGAAACACAATGTTTGTTCTTTTTCTGGAAATGCTCTTTTCTAGTTTGATAATGCAGTCCTCCACACTTTAATTGAGATCTTAATCATCTCCTCGTGTTTTTGGATGGCAAAATAAGTATCAGTTCACTCTTTCCACCAGTCTTTCAGGAAATTGGGCAAGTTTTCAGATTTACAAATATGCGGCAGCATGTTGTAAAATTTTTCAGAAGTATCCCATAGTTACAGTTGCTAGACCAGAAAGGACCGACTGGGTGAACCAATTTGCCTGAGACAGACCAGTGCTGTACCTCTAGTTAGTTTAGAATACCAAAGACAGAAGCTCACTTAGTGTGGGTGAAGCAGCTAAACAATGACCTTTCCCTGAATTTGTATTTGAGTGTCTACTTTTCCCTAACAGACATCATGACTTCATAATAAGTTTATTTTCAGGGACCCCCCAGAATTTTGAGATCCAAGAGATCCCGGACCCCCAAAACCTCCTGAATTTCACACCTTGCCCCTACCAAGATTGAAAGGTTTCAACATAAGATGAAGACAAACAGACAGAATATTGCTTCTGCCCCAACTTATAGTATGCAAATACTTGGAATGAGCATAAATTTACAAAAAAACAAAAAAAACAAAAAAGATTCATACGGTAAAACATAAATTAAATGTTCTTGTACTGTTTTCAATTTATTATAGATCAAACAAAATATTATTATGTATTTTATAATTGGGTTCGTAGTCATTTGGTGTCATAACTTAAAAAAAGGGTTGAGTAACTGAGTTTGTAGTTAATTGGTGTCATAGCTTAAAAAAGTGTTGAGTTCTTTGAAATTTTAATAAAAATCAGTTTTACTTTCTGTTGGTGTATTATTTAAAGTTCAGTTAAATCAGTTTTTCTTATTGCCGCATACTCATCTTTTCAAGTTAAGACACCATTACCTTTTAACAGTGGCATCATAAAGTGTATATTTGCACATTAATAGAGATTATTCTCTGTGCGCATCAGGCATCCCTCATGTGGTTGTTATGACGAAGGTCGATGACGACGTCTGTCCACTGGTCAACAAAGACCTAAAACAGATCTACAGAAGCAGGAAAATCAAAGAAAAGGTTAGTCACCATTTGCTGATTTATCTGTGTGTGCTCATATACGTTCTCCTTAGACATACTGGGCTGTTATAGCCAAGATATAATTTTCTATATATAAGTCAATAGCAAAAGTTATGTTTTTTTTGGTCCCAGAATCATTGTATTCCATTTTCTTTATGTTCAGATGCAGATCTGCAGCAACATACTTGGTCCACCCATGAAATGCATCTTCCCCGTGAGCAACTATCATGAGGAAAATAACATGAACGACACCAAAGATGTTCTCATCCTAGCAGCATTACTGCAGATTGTTAAATTTGCTAAAGATTATGTTGAAGAATATCACGTAACACATGAGTAAAGCATTCAGCAGGCATTCACTCTTTAGTAATGATTCACGATGTAATTCTTGTTAGTAGTTAACTGATCCTGATTTTCTGCATGCTCACATGCGAACATCTGAAATAAAGTTTGAGCTTGTTTCATCTTCAAAAGGGGATTGAACAATTGTGGATTCAGCCTATACTACTATGGATGGTTTGAACACATTAAAAATGATAGTAAATCTTGATTAATCACATTATTTTGTGTAGTTAGTTTTCCACTTAGCTATTGCTTTTGTTAATTTTCCTCACATGAGCACTGTCCAGCCTAGTGTGCCAAGGTACTGATATTGCTGCCTTAGTGCTGTGTTTTGCTTGTAAACTTTGGTGCAATTAAGACAATAAGTATATAAGTGAGTGTGTGTGTGTGTGTGTGTGTTTTACATTCCACCTGTACTTAAATTGTAACCTTTATAGGGCCCATATTCTACCTTTCCTCCAGTGCTTTTCTATGATTTGTTAATCAATTCTAGATGTTCTGCTAGCTGACTTTTAAATTAAATTAAATATGGATATAGTAATCTATTGTCTGGTGGTGTCATTGAATTCAGGTAGTCATTGATTGCGACACATTTGTTTACAAATTATGTTAATATGTCCTTAAATGAGGGACCATGTATCAAATGGGCTGTGATTTCAGTATGGTTCACTCAGTATAGATATAAATACCCTTATATTAAAGCAGATGCCCAATAATTCACAACACCAGTATTTCATTTCTGTTCATTTCAGTTTGAGTTCCTTTGGTTGGTCAGAAGAATGCTCTCTACCTCAGTTTAGTCATGGCCAGTTTCCACCCACTTGCTAAATCTCTCACATTTCATGATGCTACTAAATTGGAAGGGTAAAGGCTAGCACAGGCTTCCTCAAAGATGTGTTAATCTCCACCACTGCTGTTAAGTCAACACCAACAGCTCAACACACTTGGGGTACGCTAACTGCTAATTTTGTTACATCAGGGAAAAAACAAAAAGCCCATTGTTTAGGTTGGTGTAGTGTAGTGTAGTGGGTAACACCTCTGCCTTCTACGCTGTAGACAGGGGCGCAATCCCCACCTGGGTAAGCACCCTACACTATACCAATAAGAGTCCTTGGGCAAGACTGAGATGTCTGAGATAGCATAATTGGCATCCTGGCCAAGGCTGGCTATGGCAACACCTGGGATTAAACTTGTAAACAACCAGACAGTTACGCCACTCAGAAACCCCTCCTATATATAGCCTATGTCTTGGACAATTACAGGTCAATAACGAGCAACCTTAAATCAGAGCGGAGAAAATTATGTCGATTCAAATACTTAGGCACTACAATGGCATAAATGGTCATAGAGGCATGAAGTTTGGAAGGAAGTATCCTGAAGCAAAAGGACAGTTGGAAAAATAAAATCCAGGAGTTTACTGCTATTCATTTTCAAAATATTATATACAACATTCCCAAAATGAAAAAAAAAAACTCACTGTCTGCTTCACAAATACTAATCAAAACTTAAAATCTTTTAGCAATTCGCAATAAATAATAAAGAAAAAAACATGCTTTGCATCTAGCAAACTTCCCAAATGCATAACATGAATACATTAATTTTTACTTCTTGAAAAGTGTGCTTGCTATGGCCAAAAGTCTCTCACTACAGCTCAAATTACAAAATGCAGACACTTTTTTTTCATTGATAGATCAACAGCTGTACTTCTTCATATGACAAAAGGTACTCATTTAAAGCTCAACCTAGAAAACATACATTTAACTGACAGAATAATTGTACGATAACCAGTACAGAATGAAATGATGAGAATTGAATGACATCTAAATTGCTGACCACCAGAGGTCACTGTCACTTTAGTATTGAAGTCCCTGTGATGCATTTCTTTTTGGATTGTTTATTGGGCCTCATTCATGAGACACAAGCTGACAAAATTTAAACCTGCACCTGTAATTTCTGAAAAAGTATTTAAACTAAAGTTAGTTAAAGTGAAAGTGAAAGTGAAACTTAGGGGAACTTCACAGATTAAATGAAAGCAGGAGTGTTCTGTTCTTTTTTATTATAGCCAATTATTCAAAGCAAACTTCTAAAGCCTGCAGACATCTGCAGTAAAATAGAAATTATTTTCTAAAGTAATAAGTTGCAGTTTATTTTGAGAGTCCCGTTTAGCTTTATTAAAGATATTAGGCTGTGATTGTTTAGTTTAACAACTATTGTTTAGCTCAATGTGCACATAATAAAAAAAATAAGCAAATCTATTCCAGTCCAACAGTTGCACAATTATTACTATCATTGATGTTTTTAACTCATTTTAAGTGATTAGTGGCATGTCAGTATCACTACTGATGATATTAATAATGAATCTGTTACAGATACAGCAATAACAATGCAAGAGTAAAACAGTTGGTGGAAACTGCAACTTTGACTGTTCAGAAATCAGCAGCAATCTTTGAACACAAGCTGAATTAGCTAATTAGACTGAGATAGAGAACTACAACACAGACAGAAATGCTAAAAGAAGCTAATTTTTGGTAAGCTCAATGATTTTTGCATGAAGCATGGCTTTTCAGTCACCTTAAAAAGATTTCCACAGTTAATGCAGTTTTTCACAATGTTATTTTGTTGATAACATTGTCTTACTTATGCTTCTATTATTTTTTCATTACTATTTCTAAATATTGGTGAAAATAAAATTCAGTATGTACAATATAACAATGCATATATCAGTAATATTTTAACTGGTAAACCTTAGCCTGATATAATTGTGATCATATTTGGAGAAAATTTGATATTCACATTTCTAAATACAAAACCTAGTTCCAGAACAGTTGAGACATTTTGTAAATGCAATAAAAAGAAGAATCTATGATTTGTTCATTTTCTTGAACATTTATTTAACTGACAAAGATACACAGAAAAGATTTCCAATGTTTTCACTGACCAAATTTGATGCTGGCAAAAATAAATAAATAGAAAAAAAAATAAAAAAAATGGGGCTGAGGAATGTTTACCACTGAGTTACATCACATTTCCTTTTTATTACACTTTTTTATCATTTGGGAACTGAGGATACCAACTGTTTCAGTTTTGCAAGTGATATATTTTAATATTTTTGCCCATTTTTGCTTAATACAAGACTTTAGCTGCTCAACAGTGTGTGTGGGTTGTCTGATTCTCCTCTTCATGATGCACCATACATTTTCAGTAAGAGACAGATCTGGACTGCAGGCTACAAAGCCACGCTGTTGTAGTGCACGTAAAACAAGGCATGGCATTGTCTTGCTGAAATAACCATGGACTTCCTGGGAAAAGACATCATCTTAAAACAGCGTATGCCTCTCTAAAATCCCAACATACACCTCTGCTTCAGTAGTACTTTCACACATATGCAAGTCACCAATGCCATGGCCACTGATGCTCCCTCATACATGACAAATGTTGGCTTTTGCTCCTTTCACTGATAAAGGTCTGGATGGTCCCTTTTGTCTTTGGCATGGAGAACTCAGCATCTGCCTTCCCCAAAAACAAGCTGAAACATGGACTCACCTGAGTGCAACACACTGTCTTTCAGACTCATCTGAGATGGGCTCAGGCCCAGAGAACTTGGCGGTGTTTCTGTATAGAATTCATACATGGCTTGCTCCTGGTGTGATAGAGTTTCTAATTGCATTTCTTGATGCAGCGGCGGACTGTGTTAAGTGACAACAGTTTTCTGAAGTACTCCTGAGCCCATGTGGCTGTATTTAACACAGTCCAGCCTTGCCCTACATGGACTGAGATTTCTTCAGACTGCCTGAATATTTTCACAATATTATATATGGTAGATGGCGAAAGACCTAAATTCGTTGTAATCTTGTGGAGAAATGTCTCTTTTTAACTGTTTTACAATTCTCTCATGAAGTGTGGAACAAAGTGGTGAACCACAACCCATCTTTGATTGCAAAGACTGAGCCTTTGGTGGTTGTTCCTTTTATACCCAATTATGCTACCCTTACCTGTTACAAATTCACCTGTTTATTGTGGAATGTTTCAAAACAGTCTTCAATATTCTATAAACTTCAATATTCTATAAACTTTAATAATCTATTTACCTTTCACTTTTATTTTTCCCTCATCACAACTTTTTTTGAGTGTGTTACAGGCATCAAATTCAAATTTTGTTTATGTTTACAAACTAAAATCAAGTTGGTGAGCCAAAACATCAAGTCATTTTATTGTACTTTTGTCAGTTACATAAAGTTCAAAAATGAACAAATCAGAGCCTCTTGTTTTTATTGCGTTTTACTAAATATCCAGAAAGGGGGTTTCTAGTAGGGTGTAGCAGGAAATCATTCTTGTTTTTTTAACCACCATACAAGGTGTGTAACCCTAACTATGGCCTATTAACTTTGACGTTTGAGTGGACTTTTAATTTACTCCTTTTTCTATCTTAGTGTTGACTGAAGATACAGATTAACAAAGATAATGCCATGATATATGATAAGCAATTTAAGGCTAGAATGGTAAGAAAGTTGACAAAAGTAAAAGACAAAGAGATTTGCATTGTCTGCAGTAATTCATGTGGTTTTGCTAGTGTGTTTGTGTGTCTGTGATAGAGAGCCAGAGAAAGAGGAAGTGGAGGGATGACAAGTACAATGGAAAGCATTTCTAAGCTCATTTCAGGATTCTGAGTAACAGTTACCCTGTTCTCTTTAGCAAGGTAAGTAATTCATAAGTTCCTTTCAAAGCAAATGTTAATGTATATTTTGCTTTTGAAGAACAGGCATTTTTCAGCTTACACTATTTTGGTTTTGGTGTCAATATTATGTTGCACCAAACAATGCTTTACTCCGCTTATTGATTTGACATTTTATCTGTTCATTTTAGCCTACGAATTTCATCTTCATATTTGACTGAAAGGGTTGTGACTAAGGATTGCTGCCAAAATGGGATCAAAGGAATCAAAACCAGTTGAGTCCATCCCAGGTTAGGTTACTATATGTTAATAAACAGTGTTCATGTACTGGAAAAACACAAAGTTAGCTTTACATTTTTGTGCGGAAGATTCTCACTAGCATTTTTAACATGGATTTGGTGTTAAATTAGGTCAAACATTTGTAATGCAAAGCCTCAATCATGAATACTTAATGTGGCAGCCATTATGAACAATAAATAACATAAGCTATTCAGAAAGACACTGTAATACACTGTAATTTTGTTTTCTTCTTCTTGCATCTAAATCACAAAACAGTTTCATTTGTCCATAAATGTCACAAAAGATCATTCTTCAGATATCAAAACATGAAACTGAGAGAGAAAACATGTGATACAGCCACAGATGGTCTGTGTAAATATAACAGGAAGCACAGTAATCCTCCTGTGACTTTTCTATTACTCTTATTTCACAGATTTTGATACACCATGGAGGAGTGTAGACTGGACGTAAGTAAATGCCTCTGCTTTAGTCAGTATATTTAATATTTTGCTTAGCATAAACTAAACCAGTACTTAACCATTTTGAATGAAGGGATGCACTGATATGGGAGTTCTGTCTGATGCTGATATCCGATATTTTACCTGTGCATATCTTTATGTCTTCAGCATGCAAAACTGCCTGTCTAAAGGCCACTGCACACTGGATGCGCCAGCCCTCCATTACTCCAAGCACCGTTCAAGAGACCTCAGATAACCACAATAGATCACATGTGGCTTGAAATTTACACAGAGAAAGGCAGCCAGTCATTTACATAAACAGACAAACGCTAATGCTATCCTAGCCCTTGTTCAGCTCAGCTATATATTCAAGTGGCCTTACTTGTCTAAATGTCTGTGGTAAGGTTAATGGATGTCAGACTATCGTCAATGAGCTTGTGAATATGAGTCGCTACTCCGTTGTGTAGCTCCAGTAGGGCTACGTCAAAAAAAATAACAATGACTGGGTTTGGTGTAATGATAATATTACTACTGCCTCCGATGAGGGACATTTAGACTATCAAACTACCCTACCTGTATTTTTATAATATGACTCTGAAGTTGGCTTCCTATTCACCAGCTTCTTGTTCAAATTTTCATGCTCCATCTTAAGTTGTGCCTCAGGTGTTGTAAAGACTGCTACACCAATAAAGGTGGACTGGAAAAATACGAACAAAACGGTGGCGTATAAGAAGCTGACTTCAGCTTTGTGGTTTTAAGGCTGGTTGTATTTTTTGATAAGGAGATTTAAGCTATCAAATATCCTTCCTAGATGTCCTATGTAGGGAGCTACCTAGAAATATGCATTATGGCAGGACATTATGAGAAGGCAACACATTTCGTCAGAACAGGCTTGAGCAGCAGTCGAAACCCAACATCCTGAAAAATTCCATCACTTTTGCTGTAATAGTTGTAGCTTTTCGACTGTTTTTGTCATTTTTTTTCATTTCTGAAGGAGCTGATTAACTACCTGAGTACCTGCAGGTTTTGCTTGTTTGCTGTGGGAGACATTTTAGCTGCCTAAATCTTAATGGTGCTCTTCCGGCATACTGTAAATGTGTCATCAAATACCATTTTTTAAAATATCGGCCAAATCATCCCGATGCCAATGATTTTTTAAAAAGCACTTATCTACCGATACCAATATGATTCTGATATCATTGTGCATCCCTATCACATTGTTGTTGATTCAGCTTAGAATACTTCTTTAATTAGGTGCATAATGGTGCCTGCTATCATGTATATGTGTATGTATAATATGTGGTGTAATCAGCTACAATGTGATCTGTAATGACAGTGAAACAGTTTTTGCTAACTTACCTGTATATTCCAAAAAAATTAGATTTGAAATGAAAGAAAGCATGTCAATTTTGAGCGAACTGTGTAGGAATCACTGTCCTTTTTATACACAGTGATCCCGTTGTAGGTGAATAATAATGACTTGGTTTTAAGGTAGTTTTGAGGGTGTTGCTCTGTGATTTCTATGACATTCCAGGTTGTTCCTAGGATGTTGCTAGGCGGTTGATGCCCAGGTGATTACTCAAAAAATGCTGTCCCACATTTTCATATCACTACTGAAACACAAAGAGTTCTAGTCCATAGGCAATGCCTCACACTATCTTTTAGAGCAGGAAGTGAGACTGTAACCACGTCCCTCATGAACACATTGTGTGCTGATTTTGCTTTAAGGAGAGGCAATTTTTATGTGCTACATGTGAGTTTGTGTGGTTTACTGCTTCGTGGCTGAGCTGTTGTTGCTCCTATGCTCCATTTTGTAATAATAGCACTTACAGTTGACCAGGGCAGATCTAGCAGTACTGGGCAAACATTTCACAAACTGACTTATGGGAAAAGTGGCATTCCATGACAATGCCATGTTTAAATTTACTGAGCTCTTCAGTATGAACCATTCTACAGCCCATGTTTGTCTATGGAGATTGCATAGCTATGTGCTTGATTTTATATGCCTGTTAGCAATGCGTGTAGCGTGTGGCTGAAACACCTGAAATAATAATCCAATAATTAGTAAGAGTGTCCACATACTTTTGGCCTGGTATATCTGCCATTAGCATTACACATTAATCACATTGGAGCATATGAAAGGAACTGATTTAGGTAGCAAAATTAAGATTAAAGATTAAGTGACCCTTATTAGTCCCACAACGGGGAAATTTCACCTCTGCATTTAACCCATCCGTGCAGTGAAATATCACATACACACTAGGGAGCAGTGGGCACACTTGCCCGGAGCAGTGGGCAGCCCTATCCACAGTGCCTGGGGAGCAGTTGGGGGTTAGGTGCTTTGCTCAAGGGCAGTCACGTACTGTTGGCTTTGTTCCCCCAAATTGTCACTTCTTTAGCTTTACTACACAAAGAAGAAAGCCAACCCACCTTACCCTGATTTAGCACCATAATTAATGTACTATCCAATCTAGACAATGCCTGAGATTTGCAATGACCGACGCAATATTTCTTCCCAACCCACCCCAAGACATGTCCTCAGCTGAGGTGTGCTGGCAAAGTTCTCTCAATGAATTCAGTACAAACTGCTCCATAACAGCTTTCTATTACTTCAGAAGTGCTATGTCAGAGGAATTGCGATGGAGGAACGGAAAATTAAAAAAGCAAGCACAGCATTGTAACTTGCAGCATAAAGCCACGCAAATATTGGCATGGTGACTAGTGAAAATGGATGATTAACAGAAGAGAGTTTTAGCATTGTAGGTTGTTTATTTAAGGTAGAGAAAGACTAGAAGAAACCCTGTACTCTTTTATTGTGTTGTTGTAGCAGCTTCTCATTCAGTTCAAGGAGGTCCTGGAGCAGCAAGGCGACAAACTCTGTTAACCGTGATCTTCCCTCCGAGATCCCCATGATCCGCATATTGTTGCTCCTAGAGTGCCCTTCAAAAGCCTCACACTTATGTTCAAGGCATTTAGTTTGGGCAGTGAGTTTACCAACTGCCTCTTGCAGCTCTGTTAGCTGGGCACTGTGGTCAGTGGACGGATGGTCTACAGTACCAGTCAAAAGTTTGGACACATCTTCTCATTAAAAGGTTTTTCTTTATTTTTGTTATTTTCTACATTGTAGAATAATATTTAAGACATCAAAACTATGAAGGAACAAGGAACACATATGGAATAATGTAGTAAACAAAAAAGTGTTAAACAAACCAGAATATGTTTTATACTTTAGATTCTTCAAAGTAGCCATATGTTGCTTTGATGGCAGCTTTACACAGTCTTGGCATTCTCTCAATCAGCTTCATAAGGTAGTCCCCTGGAATGGTGTGCCTTGTCAATGAACAGGCGTGCCTTGTCAAGAGTTAATTTGTGGAATTGCTTGTCTTCTTAATTTGTCAGTATCAGTTGTGTTGTGTGGAGGTAGGGTTGGTACACAGTTTTTTAGTTCTGTACAGGACTATGTTCCTTCATAGTTTTAATGTCTTCAATATTCATCTAAAATGTAGAAAAATAATAAAAATAAAGAAAAAAAACATTGAATAAGAAGTTTTAACTGGTACTGTAGGTTTCACCAAGTTTCAATAAAGCCAGAAAGCTCCTGTTTAACTACTGCAATGTCGCAGATTCCAATAAAGAGAGTCAATTTTACCACAGTTGAAATTTTTTAATGAGCCATCTTCCACCACAGGCATGGCACGTTCAGAAAATGGCACAGCTTCGCAGCCTGACTTTGAAGACTCAATCTTACGGCACTGTGGTCAATAAAGAAACAAACTAACAGGATTGTTTGGCTCCTGAACATGTCATAAAATATGTGGTTTAAGAAAACTCACAACTGTGAAAACTAAAAACAGATTCAAGCCACATTCTCTCAGAGCAACAGGGAAAGTGTCTACATCCTCCATGTGCCACAGCTGTTCTTAATTTACATAAAATTCTTATGTATTTTGTTTTTAAATTATGTGAACTTGTTTATTCTGAACAGCAAAAAGGAAGACTTGGAAGAAGAATTAACAGACATTCAGCTGAACCATCCAGAACTCAGACATGTCAGAATCCTGCTACATGGACCAGTAGGAGCAGGGAAATCCTGCTTCATAAACTCAGTGCAAAGCGTCTTCAAAGGAGAAATTATAACGATGGCAGGCGAAGAGTCATGTGCAAACAAAAGCTTCACAAAAAGAGTAAGTATGTTTAATTTATCTACTGAAGTCTCAGGAAGTGTCCCCCCTAGGCAGTGGAGAAGGAAACTTTCACTAACTGTTCACAGTGGCTATTTGGTACCTGGGCCAGCCCTCTCTTTTTGGAGGCTCCAGGCAGAATCTGATTTGGTGGCCCCCTCACACCTGCTCATCAACACTGTGCACCCGAGAGAACACAGTAGTTACACAGTAGTTACATGATGTGTGTGCAATACCTGTAGAATCGGAATCAGACTCTTTATGTTAACACTAAATCCAACAAAGTAACTATATTGTTGCTGTCAGGACAAAAATCTACATTTTTATTTTCATTTTTCATTTTTTGACATAATTTGAACATACAAGCTGCCCTTTCACGATGAATGGACTAATAGAAATGCCCCAACATTCGATTAAGTAGTTTTTCTATGAACTTCCATTTAAAGTTAAGAATCTTTGTCACTTCTCCCGTTACCTTTTGGGGGATACAAGGGTGTCTGTTTAAGAAATGAGGTTGGTTTGTTCTGACAGCGACGATATGCATACTATATACTGAAGGCGTGCCAGTGCAATTAAAAAAATACTGCGCTGGCAAAGTTCTCTCAATGAATTCAGTACAAACTGCTCCATAATAGCTTTCTATTACTTAAGAAATGCTATGTCAGAGGAATTGCGTTGGAGGAACAGAAAATTAAAAAAGCAAGCACAGCATTGTAACTTGCAGACATGGACACAACGACATAAAGCCACGCAAACTAGGAGAAACCTTGTACTCTTTTAATGTGTTGTTGTAGCAGCTTCTCATTCAGTTCAGGGAGGTCCTGGAGCAGCAGGGGGACAAACTCCATTACCTGTGATCTTCCCTCCGGGGTCCCCATGATCTGCATATTGTTGCTCCTAGAGTGTGCTTCAAAAGCCTCACACTTGTGTTCAAGGCATTTAGTTTGGGCAGTTAGTTTACCAACTGCCTCTGGCAGTTCTGTTAGCTAGGCACTGTGGTCAGTGGACGCATGTTTTTTTTTCAGATTTTATTTACTTACTTAAATTTTTCATTTTTCATGTCACGTTTGACTGCATTGATAGTTAATGTTTTCATGTCTACTTTCATGTTATTTTTGTCTCTGGAACTGCACTGGAGAGATGGAACACCACTCTTCCAAAAGATATCCCCTCAATTGATGTTATGATGGTGGTGGTGAAGAGCACTATCTAGTGACTGAGAAGTCCATAGCATATGATTAACACCATTTTCATACTTATCAAACCATTCAGTGACCCCTCGTGACCAGCGGATGGGGGTATTTTCATCCTTAAAGAGACCAATCCCATCAGGAAAGAAATGCGATGAAAGTGATCAGTCAGAATAACTTTGCACTGATTTGCAGTGACCCTTGCCATGTCAACCATGCCAGCAAAATACAGAGAAGAATATAGACACCACTCTCCGATGTCACTTTAGTCACAGTTAGCCACACTAGCCAGTTGAGCATTTGTGTGACTGAAGCTCCTGTCCTCCATCCCCCATCAATAAGCTCTTATTGAAAGTCACTTAGAACCTTTACTCTTGCCATCTTGTTCAGGTCAGCTAGGTCTAGGTTAACATGTTAGCATGCACTACATCAGTTTGAAAGCATCTGTGCTCATTATGTTTCTCCACTCTCTTATTCAGTTTTTCTCTTTGTTATCTGACTGTAATATTTATCTTCATACAGTGTACACTTTGACAGAATGTCCATAAGGTTTATCATATCATGTTTCTGAGCTATGAGAAGGTCTTTTTCTGTACTTTTTCTTCTCTTCACAGTACAAATCCCACACTTTTATCAACAGCAATTCTGAGACTTTGCCGTTCATCATCAACGATGCTTTGGGCCTGGAAAAAGGAGAGAGCAATGGAATTGACCCTGAAGATATTGTTAGTGCATTGAAGGGCCATATAACAGAAGGCTACAAGGTAGATAAAGGAACAATTGCATTACTTCTCTAAAAAAAACATATGCGCTTTAATCATACTTTCCCTAAAAGGTTTATGCACTTTTGCAGCTGATTCAACCGACAAAGGAATCAGGTGTTTCAGATCAGAGAGAAAACAGAAATAAGCCTATCTATATTACAATAAGCTCAAATGTAGTTGTCTTTATTCTAAAACTTTGGATTTTTAAATATTTTCATTAAAACACTTTGTAGCCTGTGTAAAAATAAAGAATGCAGGGTGAAATGTTTTAACACATAAGATGTTATAGGATATCTGTAATCTTTCTAGCCTGGAAAAGTTACCACTGAGAACCTTCTCTGCTTTTTCTGAAGTTTAACCCTATTAGTCCACGGTGTGAGGAAGACCAGGACTTCATCAGAGAACCCACACTGAAGAACAAAGTTCACTGTCTGGTGAGTGTTGTGCCTGCCAACGCCATCTCTCGAATGGACGACAGTCTTATCCAGAAGATGAAATACATCAGGAAGAAAGCCACTGATTTGGGTGAGTTGCTGATGAATTCATTTAATATAAATTGAAAGTTATTTTTTATTAAATTTGTTACATGTTTTACATATTATGTATTTATCAATGGTTTAACTTACAAGACTGATTTTAAGAGAGCTTGAGGTAAAAGGTTTAGTTTGAGCTTCTAAAATTCTGAACACAGTACAATACAGTACCGTGAATGATATGGAAAGGGTAGACCTTTCCAACACATTGTAACTCAGCCTCCCTGGTCACAATTACACTAATAACACAAGCAACAACAATCACAACAAACTGACCTTTTTAACTGGCAGTATTGCACACCCCATGAGCCACTTTACATAGCACACCCATTAAGCTCATTGCGCGGTAGCCACAATATGCATTCAGCAACTATTGCGTATATGATCATCCTGTGTATGATGTGCACATTCGATGCTATAACAACAGATTGCAGCAAGTCATGTTTTTTTTTATGTGTACGATAGATGGCTACTTGATTAATCTACTTAAGTAGAGAGCTGTAAGGAAATATTAGATTAAATTTTATCAAATATAGGCAGTAAAACTACAGATGTTATTCCTGTGGTTATTGACATAAGATTTCATTATGTCATTAATGTAGGTTTTAGTCATGCAAGTCTTTTATTACAAAGCTTAGCAAGAATATTCAAATTAAGTGTTTCATTCATTCCAGTTTTAATTTTCAGTCATGCTGGTTTTGCATTCAGTAATACTGAAATGATGAATGTTTATGTACTTGTTTTAATATAGTGCACTATATTATTTTATCCATAAACATTAACAGATTTATTATCATTTGCAATAATTTGTGCACATCAGGCATCCCGAATGTGGTTGTTATGACAAAGGTCGATGCTGATGTCTGTCCACTGGTCAACAAAGATCTCACACAGATCTACATAAGCAGGAAAATCAAAGAAAAGGTTGGTCACTTTTTCTGATTTACATATGTATGGTCATGCATGGACTGTATACAGATACTAACTGTTAACCCTCTGGGGTCTAAGGGTATTTTCTTGATTTGATACATACATAAACTTCACTTATTTGCCATCCTATACTCTACTTCAAAAGAGCTTGCCACTCTTAGCAAGATCTAAGGTATAAGGTTATGTTCCCATGCTGATGTACTTCCATGCTCGCCATATATATTTATTTCAATTGTGCAAAAGCTTATAGAGGGGACATAGGGGAGCACCTCCCTACCAATTTTTAAATTAAGCAATAAGGGGGGCTTGCTGGATGGTTGTTGGTAAACGTATGAGAACACTTTGTAGTAACTTTAGCTATTAACCATTAATAGCTATGAACAAATCATTAGGTCATAATTTCAGAATGTTTATAACTCTTCAGTTTATGTAGTGGCTAAAATGTGTAGTCATATGACAAATGATACACATGGTGTTTTCGTGTACCCTTACACATACCCTTTCTAATAAATAGGTTGTGCAATAAATCAATACATGTATACAAATCACTGTAAATTATTGAGATGTATAACTCCAATGCTGACATAAGCATTATTTTCCCATATCCATATATGACTCTTGTAAATGCTATAGCTCATAAAAACAGAGGCATAAATACAACCCCATTTCCAAAAAAGTTGGGATGTTGTGAAGAATGTAAATAAAAATAGAATGCAATAATATGCAAATCATGTAAACCATATTTTTAAAGGAAAATACTACAAAGACAACATATCAAATGTTGAAACTGTTATTTTTTTAAAAATATATGCCCATTTTGAATTTGTGGCCAACAACACATTCCAAAAATGTTTGGACGCCTCTTCTTTTAACAACACTCTGTAAGTGTATAGTAGTCTATAACTACTGCTTTAGGTCTGTTACCATCTTTTCCTGAATGTTAGATTTGAGCAGTTTTCAGTGTCCTGCCTGTAATTTTCTTCAGTTCATTCTTAAACATCTGGACAGCCCTCTCCACTAGCCCGTTTGATGATGGATGATGGGACTGAGGTGAGATGTTGGACACCAGTGTCTCTGAGCTAGCAGTGTCTCTGACAACAGTAAAAGTTTACTTTTCTGAAAGCAGCTCTTTGAGGCAGACCCCTCCCACTTTGCACCAGACTTCAGCAGCATGTATAGGGGGGCCAGGGTGGAGGCAAGATCTGGAAGGAATCACCCATAATGGTTCAAAATGACCAGATAGGCCTGAAGCTCCCTGGTGTTTTGTGTCTCTGGAGCTTCTGTGATGGCTTGCATGTTTTACTCCAGTGGTATGAGGTCCAGTCCCTTGATGTCATTTTGTGCTCCAGACACTTCAGATGACATAAAGACCTCTTCAAGTGGAGATCAGCCTCCTTCAACCTAGACAGAACCTCATTCAAAGTGCGGAAATGCTGCTCCTCACTGAATCCAGTCATAAGGATATCATCAACATGATCCATTCCTCCCAGCAGCCCTTCCATTGCCCTTTGGGAAATGGCACAAGCAGACAAGACACTAGATGGCCACAATGGGTATTAATTGTCACCAGCTACTGTGCCTCATCTGCCAACACCAACTGTTGATACGCATGTGACATATCCATCTTAGAAAAGCTGACACCACCTGCCAGCCTGGCAAACAACTAATCACTGCAGGAGAGTGGGGACTGTTCAATGCAGGTGGCCACATTTGCTGTTAGTTTATAAACCCCACAAATGAAGATGGAACCATCAGCCATCACTGAAACAATCAATCATTATGAGCAGTCAGACACCTTGAAGGGATTATCAAGTAGCTCTGACCAAATTAAAGAGTAGAACATAATTTATGTTTTTAAGTTCACTTGAGTCATTACATACATGGTCAATCATGACATTCCTGTTTTTCTGGGGAATATACATGAGATGAAAAACAGCAACGATGTGCAACAAAAGGTTGTTGAGCTGCACAAATGAAGAAATGGCTAAAAGAAAATCATAAACCACTATTAGGTCAATAATTAAAAACTGGAGATGTTGAGAGCCTGCAGGGGAAGAGGACACATGTCTATATTCTCTTCACACACAGAAGAGACTGTTTCAAGTGGACAAAGAATCTCCAAGAATCACAGATGGGGAATTGCAGACATTAGTTAGGTCCTGGACATCCCCCAAACCACAATCAAACACCACCTACAGATCCACAAGTTGTTTGGGGGTTTCCAGAAAAAAGCCTGCTGTCAAGGACCAACAAACTCAAACACCTACAGTTTGTCAGATGTTATTGGAACTTTCAGTGGGGCTTGAGTACTGTGGTCAGACGAAAACAAAATAGAGGTTTTTGGCAACAAAAATAAAAAGAGGTGAGTTTGGGGTGGACACAAAACTAACCATGCAGAAAAGTATCTCATCCACCTGTGAAGCACGGCAGTGGATGTGTGATGTTCTGAGGCTGTTTTTCTTCCAAATGCCCCGGACAATTTATTAGCATACGCGCGATCACAGACTCCATCAAGTAGCGGCAGGAATAAAATCAAAACCAGACTGCCTCAGCCAAGATGTTGAAACTGGGTTTGGATCTTCCAGCAGGACAATGATCCAAAACACACCTCAAAATCAACACCAAAAATGTTTCACTGACCACAGAATTAAGGTTTTACCCTAGTCCCCCTGACCTAAACCCTACAGAAAACCTTTGGGATGAGCTGAAGAGGAGAGTCCACAGTGCGGACCACAGAATCTGAAGTATCTGGGGAGGTTCTTTATGGAGGAATCAGATCCTTTGCCATGTGTTCTCCAGTCTCATTAAGCATTATAGGAGAAAATTCTGAGTTGTTATCTGTGCAAAGGGAGGTGCACAAAGGATTAAATGAAGGGGTGCCAATAACTGTTTGCACACATAGATTTGAGAAAAAAAAAATCCTAATAAGATTTAGCTTTTTTCAATCACTGCACTTCAAATAAAGATTAGATTGCTTTTAATATTTTGAATGAAAGATCAAAAGGATAAGCAATAATGAATGTTTTTACAGCATGTTTACCAGAGGTGCCAATATTTGTGGAGGGCACTGTACATAATGAATAAATGTTTCTACTACTGGAGATGCCTGTTTACACATATCCATAAGCAATGCAAGCACTTAGCCAATGATGAATGTAACAATAGGTGTGCATTTGATAATGTGTTAATATATGCGTTGGAAACTGATATACATCAGAATCAGATTTACTGGCCAAGTATGTTGACACACAAAAGGAATTTGGGTCTGGCCGTTGGTGTCTCTGGCATTACATGCAATAAACAAAACATATACTTTACAGTACATGCTGTACAATTTACACAGTATACACAACACACAAGTAATATGCAGACTATATAAGGACAAGTAGTATACATACATAAGTGTGTGTGGTAGTGCACTACAATGCAGGGATACCAGCTCTTTAACTCTATATCCAGTGCATAGCTCAATATGTCTCAACAACATAATGTGAAATTTTGTCTCACAGCAACACATTTTCTTTGTGTTTAGATGCAGGACTGCGAGAACAGACTCGGCCCACCCATGAAAAGTATCTTCCCCGTGAGCAACTATCATGAGGAGACTGAAACAAACAACACCAAAGATGTGCTTATCCTAACGGCATTGTTGCAAATCGTAAAATGCGCAAAAGAGTATGTCAGCAGGCAGCATACCACCCGTGAATAATTTGCTAATAATTGGCTCTTCTACATTCTTCTAAAAATTGAGAAAAACTTGTAACTCGACTTTGACTCAAACATCTATGACTCAGACTTTGACTCAGACTTGAGACACATGACTCAGAAAGACTCAAGTCCCAAAGTGAATGGCATCTGGTTGCAGACGGGACACTTGCCATGTGAATGGATTCATTTGCTGCTGTAAATTTGATAACTCAGTCAAGTTCATTCATTCATTCATTCTTTCATTCATTCATTTTCTAAGCCGCTTATCCTCCTGGGTTGCAGGGGTGCTGGAGCCTATCCCAGCGGTCATTGTGGCAGGAAACACCTGGACAGGCTGCCAGTCCTTAAATTTAAACAAAGTTAACAAAGTTAAATTTAATAGTACTTTGAAAAATCTTTTCATGTGTAGTTCACTAATCGTTGAGTATATCTTCATGTACATCATGGTTATTTGTGTACTATGGATTTTGTATTTTATTTGGAAGGGTGAAAACAAAATAATAAAAAAAAATTAATATTTAGCCACACATTTCTAACTTACTGTCAGTAAAAAGTGCTATTACTCCTACCATTATTTTTGGTGTTCAGTGTTGAAATGGCCTTAAATTAACTTGGGACTCGACTTAAGACTTGCCTGTATTCACTTGGGACTCGACTTGAGACTTGCCTGTATTGACTTGGAACTCAAATTGAGACTGGCCTAAATTGACTTGAGACTCAACTACAGACTTCCCTATATTGACTTGGGACTTGACTACAGACTTGCCTGTATTGTAAGGGACTCAACTTGAGATTCTCTTGTACTGACTTTTTACTTGAATCGATACTCGACTCTCTTGACTTGGAACTTGACTTGCGACTCAAATGTCAAGTCTTGAGACTTACTTCTTGCTTGCAACTTCATGACTTTAAATTGGCATTAAGATCATAATCAGATGATAATATCATAAAGATGATCAGTATCTAATTTGCACTATGTAGTGTTCCCTTTTTCTTTTATGGCATGTAAACAAACCCATGTCAATGTTGTGTCAGTGATTTTTCTTTTCTTTATTTTTTCAGCATAAGAATGGTGGCTTATACTGTACAAATTGGCTATTTGAAATATTTCCTTATTGCTCCATTTAGATTTGGACTTTTAGCTCAATGTGGGATCAACAACCATTTGTGTGAAACTGCTTATGTCTTTGCTTTCTCTGAAGTTCTACACCACACCTTGTTTGAATTCATGATTTTCAAATGAACATACACAGAGCACACATAAAGCATGGATAATTAAGTCACCCATAATTGTTATTTTATTTCATAAAATCTCCTGTTTGCCTTGTGTTAAGTAAAATACGTGATGAAAATGTCTTCTTGTTTTTTTTTTTCTTGTCCTTATTTAATTAAAGACTAGCTATCCAAAAGTAATGGAATGTAATCAGATTACATATCTTTAATATAGTAATCCTTTGGATTAGTTCACAGTTACATTTTTTAACATGTAATCACTAATATGTACATTTTTTTTAAGTAATCTTTCCAACCCTGCTAACCAGTCCTATTGAGTCAGTTAAGGCGTAATGAGTTAATTCATTCTGAAACTTTACAAACCTTTGCACATGACAAACCACCTTGGGAGCCACAACATTTAATGTCCAGTATGTCTCAGTATGTGATGATGTCGTAGAATAGGTTAAAAAATATAGACAAAAACGTGTACTTTGCTCTGCTTTAAGCTTTAGCCATAGCCACTTTCCTCCCATCCCTGCCAGAAAACGTATCTTTAAAGGAAAAGTAGCTTATGTCAAAATGTCTCTCAACATTCAACTGTTTTACGAGGCTGAAGTCACTTCTTATTCTCCAGCTTCTTGTTCGAATTTTCCCATTCCACCTTAAATTCTGCCTGTGGTGCCAGAGTGTAAATGCAGCAACATTTAAGGTGGAACGGGAAAATTTGAAAGAGAAGCGACTTCCTCTTCGCAGTATAAAATCTCTCTCTTTGCCTTGTCATTAGCTACTAGCCAAGCGAGACTGCGTTGCTAGGTGACCTGCAGTCTGCACGCCAGGTTGAAAAGGGACCTGGATACTATATGCAAGTTGTGTCACACTAAAGTAAAATATTTTGGAAATGACAAACATGAGAAACCATATTACATGTTTCCACTAGTTTTTTCTACTGGTTGTACTTGCTGCCAACCAGAGGACCATCAAGCAAGCGATGTCAAAGCTTCCACCCAACTCTGAAGCGAATTACAAACTCTATCGCAACTTTATTGCCAAGGATTTGCGTCCATTCTCAGGCGTTGAGAACCAGGGCTTTCGTGCTATGTTGGACACTTTGGAGCCAAGATACAGTGTCTTGTCTCAAAGATATTTTACTGACAAAGCAACCCCCCCCGCTGACTCTCTACAACGAGACTAAAACCGAACATGTGCTGCATGGACATCAATTGCCACAGAATCTTATGTCACCATAACTACGCATTTTATCGCAGATGAGTGGCAGCAGCGTCTCATGTGCTCCAAACAAGAGCAGTGAATGAGAGCATTTCAGTTCACTTGCCACATCACTTCCATTTGATTTATTAATAAAAGACATTGGAAGTAAATTCATTATGGATCATTACAAATACTTTGCTTTGAAAGTACCAAGTCTTCACACAGTGAGAAAATAGAAATCCTGTATAAAAAAAAAGATGCATCAAGATGCATCAATAATCATTTTATAATCGCATTGCAGCCTCTGAATCGTAATCAAATCGAATTGCTTTTATTTGTTATTTTTCTTGATCTCAGGAATTCAGTTTCCATCATTACTAGTAAATATTTAATTTCAACTAGTAAAAATTCAGTTTTGGCTAGTAAGAAATAAATTTTCAGTATAAATTAGTATAAATGTGTGTTAACTGAGCCCATTGTGAAATTGGATTAAGAGCTAAAGCTGCTTGCAAAAAAATAAACAAAATCATGTAACTAGAATCTCAATATATCAAATTACTTTTCACTTATTTGGATTCCAAGCTAAACTTACTTTCCATACACGCTTATGAACTCCTACAACAGCTGTTAGGAGGTTTCACAGGGAGATTTACCTCCAGAGTATTTCAGGTGTTATTTTTTGCTGGATTGTGTCATGTTATGAATTGCTTCTGGTGCGTGAATTTGCTCCTACCATCATGGTAATTGTGGCAAAGCATTTTATAAATCTGGCCCAGTGTCTTTTGCTTCATAAATACTTGTGAATATGAACAAAAAGTATGTATTTACAACCATAGACAAAGGTTTGACAAGGAAAGATTGGCAGGGAAAAAGATATTCAGACACCACAAATTTTTAACATTAGTACTTTGTCATAAAGCTGTTGTTGGCGATTACAGGTTCGAGACATCTGCAGTAAGAAGTGATTAACTTTATGCATTGGGTTCAATTTCGTCCAAGTTCTCTTGACCATCTTCAAATTCTCCAAGGTTACAAAGGCCTATCTGAGGGACTCCATACTTTTCAGTGAGATTCAAGTCAGGAGAGTGGCTAGGTCATGTAAGTACCTTAAATGTTTTTAGAATCCAGTCTTGAGTTACTTTTGGCTGTATGTTTGGGGTCATTCTCTGGTTGAAATGTTCATCTTTTCCCCTTTCTTGGCTAAAGAGACTAAATTCTCATTAAGTATTTAGACTTTTGGAACAACGTATTCTGGTCAGGGACAGAACTTTGGCAATAATTCAGCTCATCATGTTTAAAGAATGAAAGATTGTGCATAGTGCTGATTCTTCCTGTAGTTGCATAGGGCCTGCACCTGCTGTTGGACTGGCAAGTATGACTGCATATTTGAGTGAGTGATCAAACTGTATCACTTTTCACAAGAAGACTATACTAGCAAACTTTCTAACGTCAAGTTAATCAGAAATGGCTCCATAATCCCTGAGTGGGGTAGTACATAGGTCATTAATGGGCTGGAGATTGGGGAACCAGCCCAGAAGGTTGCTGGTTCGATCCCCTGAGCCGACAGTACGTGACTGAAGTGCCCTTGAGCAAGGCACCTAACCCCCAACTGCTCCCCGGGTGCCGTGGATAGGGCTGCCCACTGTTCCGGGCAAGTGTGCTCACTGCCCCCTAGTGTGTGTGTGTTCACTAGTGTGTATGTGGTGTTTCACTGCACGGATGGGTCAAACACAGAGGTCAAATTTCCCTGTTGTGGGACTAATAAGGGTCACTTAATTAAATTATGTTTTCTACATTCCACATTGTGCACTGCTCACGAAATACAGATCCATTTGCATTTTAGCCATAGGTTATTATTCATGTGCATAAGTCTGTTCACGACCTAAGTAGTACCCTATATAAGGAGTTGGGGGGCAACACAGCTTATCATCAGTTTGCTAATGTGGGTTCCTTCGTTGCTTGCTGCAGAACAAAGCTTTTCCAAGTAAAACAGGATCCCAGGATCATTTGAGTGGACTTGCCATCATGGGTATTAATCAATAAGTTAACCATGAGCCTTCTTAAGGTGAAATCATCAGCAAGTTTAAGTCCAGAAAATGTGAAAGAGCTAATGGTTAGATTTTTTAAAACATAGAATGGAAGGATTACTGGGTTAATATGGTAAATAACAACAGATGATTATAAGGGGAAACTTATTATGTTGATCTTCCTCAGTATTGTGAAGTCTCTTTAGTTCAAATGACAGAAGTATTTGCACTGCCTATCTCCGGAAGCTGCAACTCTTTGGCAGAACATCTGTGCTTAGCAGCTTTATGCTCTCAAACTGAAAGCGAAAGTAAAAAGAGGGTAGGGCAAGAGGACATAGTGCACAATAAAGGAGGAGGTCCATCTTGGTCAGCTTCCAAGTAAGGAAACATCATTTTGATATGGTTTAAATTAAGAACACAATATAGGTCACCGACGTCCAATCACAGGATGTGACCCTAAGCCACATGATTTGACAGTACACTTTTAAAAATGGAGCAATGCCACAGAAGAACTTTTTTTGGTTTTAAAGAAAGTGGATGGTTCTTTAAAGATCCACTTTTGTAAATGAAATGTTAGAGTGCAAAAAAAACTTTTTAAAGAGTTTTTATGACATCCCATTCTAAATCCATAGGCATTAATAAGGAGTTGGTCCCGTTTTTGCAGCTGTAACAGCTTCCACCCTTCTGGGAAGCTTTCTACAAGATTTTGGAGAGTGTCTGTGGGAATTTTTGTCCGTTCATCCAGAAGAGCATTTGTGAGGTCTGATGTTGCATGAGAGGGTCTGGCTCACAATCTCCATTCTAGTTCATCCCAATGGTGTTTGATAGTGTTGAGGTCAGGGCTCTGTGAGGGCCAGTCAAGTTCTTCCACACCAAACTCACCCAGCCACGCCTTTATGGACCTTGCTTTGTACACCGGGGCTCAGTCATGCTGGAACAGAGTAGATTCTTCCCCAAACTGTTCCCACAAAGTTGGAAGCATATAATTGTCCAAAATGTCTTGGTCTGCTGAAGCATTAAGATTTTCCTCACTGGAAATAAGGGGCTGATTTCAAATGTACCTTTCATTGAAAAAAGATATTGAGAAATACTTGGCTTTCTGTCCTTAAATAGCTGTCTCAGTGTTGCCTTTGATACCATTGACCATAAAATTCTCATAGAGAGACTTGAGAACTGGGTTGGGCTCTCAGGAACTGTCCTAAAATGGTTCAGTTCATACTAGCTAAGAAGGGACTACTTTGTGGAAATTGAAAATAATATTTCTGAGAGAGTGCCAGTGATGTCCCCCAGGGTTCAATTCTTGGGCCACTCTTATTCAATTTATACATGCCTCTTGGCCAAATACTACAAGACTATGGGATATCTTACAACAGCTATGCAGATGAAACTCAGATCTATGTGGCCCTCTCCCCAAAAGTTACAGTCTGACGGGGGTAAAGAGTTTTTAACAAACATTTTCAAAACCTGGTATCAAAAAACAAAATTACGCATTTTGCTACAGGTAGTGAACTAAAGGCTAGCATCATAGAACGCTTTAACAGAACGCTAAAAAGTTGTATGTGGTGATATCTAACAGCTATAAATTCCAAAAGGTACATTGATGTTTTACAAGACATAACTGTTGTTGTACCTGCACATTATCATAGGTGTATAAAAATGAAGCCTGTCAATGTGACCAAAGAAAATGAATCTATTGTGTTTAAAACATTGTATGGTGTGAAAAACAAACTAGACAAGGAAACT